TAAGAGAGAACAGATCTTGCCACTGAAGGAAACTGGCCATTATATAACTAAACAATGGAGAAAGTTGGCATTAGGCAACCCACAAGTAGGGAAGCGAACTTGGGAGAAGGGTCACTAAATGGAGCATGGGAAAAATATGAAAGCCAGCCTCGAATGCTGGTATACACTGAGGGATATTTTCTTGTGCCTGGTTCTTATTGCTCCCTGAACATATTCATTTCCTCCTACTGCAGTGTTTGGTATCTAAATCAATAAATTCCATTATTAAAAAAACAAACAAACAAAAACAAACCATAAAACACTTTGAAACTATTGTGTACTTCTGCTTTTCCTGCTATCCCAGCTGCCTTCCTACACAAGATGGAAATGATTTGCAGGGGTTTATGTTAGAATAGATATAATTGTGTACTTCCCCTCAAATTGCATACTAAGTTGAAAGCCTTCTTTTTGATGTACATTCCCCTCTCGGGAGGCAGATGCCTAATCCGGCTAGTGTCTGCTGGATATGGGAGACAGATACAACTGCAAAGTCATGAAATCTTTTGCCAGTGAGATTGAGGCATAAATACATTGGCCACTCAGGGCTTCCACAGGAATTCAAGCAGTTGAAAAGAAGCCTTCAAAATCACTGCAGGATATTCTCCTAGTAGCCTCCCACACCTCCAATTTCACTAGTTTGCTATATGCAGTACCTGTTTCTCCATTTGTTGCTGCTGCTCTGCTACTATGGGAACATCCTCTTCCAAACACTAGGCCCTCTGGGGTCCTTTTCGTTAGTCAAGTCAGTGCTGTGATTAATCATTCTTGGCTTTCTAGATTTTCAAGGATAATGTGATCTAATTGTTTTAGGCAAGAAACACAATAATAAAAATCATGTTTTAAAGTTCATGCCAAAATATTTCCATAATTCTGAAAAAATCCTTTCCATTAAGCCTTGCTAATTAGGAGTCACTACCTTTCATTTTGTCTTCACAGTCATATTATCACAGAGAATTAATATAAAACCATCCTGTTGTCAATTCAGTGTTTAAAAACCTATTAAAAAGGTTGTATGAGGTATAAAGAAAAAAATATTATTTCTATAGGATTAATGGTATTTTTAATATTTGTAATTCTGCCTTTCTTTGATTTTCAGTCAGAAGTCAAGAACAGTTTTTTAATCATATCACAACTTTGGCATTCAAGCTTTTTGCTGAAGATACTGAGACGCATTCTTTTCTCAGCCATACTGGTGCAAATCTTTTATTCATCTGATTTCACTACAGACTGATTTATACAGAGAGCTACAGTGACTTTGCCTCCCTGCCTAGGAGCATTTCTAGCAAGTGACCATTTACCGGCTCCCTTTCAGGTTTTCAGGGAGGATACAGTTTCCTTGAATCCTCTCCATAAGGAACAGCTGTTGCCATTACGTGTGCACAATGTTTCAGAAAGTTCAGACCGCAGTTCCAGTGGCGGTACCCAGGGATTTTAGAGGAAATGCCTGTCCACCTGTCCTTCCGGCACAACACATTTCACCTGAACTATTCTGAAGGGGCAGTTGTTACAATTCCAAGAATGAACAATAAAAATGACAGGCCAAAGCTTATCCTTTGTAAAACAAATTGAAGAAATTCTTTTAAGGGAGTGCACACATTTTTTTTCAAATAACTACACTACAATTATTTTGTGAATGGGAGTACATCTCAGTATATCACTGCTAATGTATTATAAATACACATAATCTTCAAAACTCATTTTTAAAAAAGCTTTTATTTCATTAAAAGAAACCATGTTATCACCACATTATTGTTCTGCTTTCAGTGACTCTGATCTCTTTCATGGATATGGGCATAAGTTAATACTTAAAATAATTGTGGCAATTTTGCAGGATGTTTCCTGCTTCCTTGCAAACCAGAACTGTTCACATGCCTTCTTATGCTAACATTATCTTTTATGTACATCACATGCAGAAAATGCAAAGCCCATCTGAACTCTGAAATATTAAATTTTTATAGTATGTCCAACAGGATGTATTGTAGTACTTTGGCACTATATGACATAGCAGTAAATTATATGATAAAATAGCAGCCTGTTATGACATTGTGATATGACATAGCTTAAAAAACAAAAATATAAAAATAATATTATAGAATAAATAATATCCAATGATTTTATTTTTATTTTTGTTTTCTTTGTATAGAGACATTGTCTTAGAAAAAAAAATAATTTTAGGGAAGCTTATTTGACATTGATACTATCCTGTGCAAGAACCTTATGATGAACATTGTTTGACCAACATTTTTCCAATTAGTTCTGTGGACATCTAACTCTATCAGCTGACAGAATATCTCACTTTGCTGATAGAAGCCTGTTTTTAGAAAAGCAGGTACTTATCATAGCCAATACTAAAGTCTCAAAGAAGTAGTCACTGTGAGACTAGCACTGATTTCATCCCCAAACCCCATGCAGAGAGAGATACACACATATATCATAATACACATATAAACATATGCATCAATATAATGGGTATATAATTTTTATCATATTTTTGTTTTGTTTTACTTTGGGGGTAATTGAGAAAACATTGTCTCTGATTTATAAATGGGAAACTGAAGTAATTATTCATTAGATCATTCTTATTCATTAGATAGAAAACAACTTAATAGAGATGCAGAAGCTGTCCTTTGCGAGAACCTCCTCACAGGAGGGGCATCCTCAGTTTTGATCCCTGCACAAAGGAGGGCTAATCACAAGAAGCAAATCATGCTGCCTCTTGTGTCTTCCTGTCAAGGAAGCCCTATTCCTCTGTAGTAGGCAAGGCACTTTCAGCTGAGAGTATAATGAATCCTGTATGTACCATACTCACAATTGTACAGATAGAGAAAAGGCATTCAAGAGCCTTATCCTGGGGGCCCCAGACCGAGACTAACTGCAGACTCTGGAGTATTGCAATGATAGCTGCTGCTGAGCTAATGACATATGTATGTTGCAAAAATGCTTAAAAATATATATATATATATATATAAAAATAAGACAGGCCACTGGATGACAACATTTGGACCTGGAAGGCTTGGACTGCTAGTATTTTATTGTGCCAGTTCTGGACAGTCATGTCATCTGCTTCAAATTCTTCATCTCTTGTTTCATAAAACTATGGACTCTTTGGCATAGGTTTTGTCCCACACTTTGTTGCTGTGTGAGCCATAAAAGGCAAAAAGAAAGGCCGATCTCAACTGAGGCCTCCAGCTAGCCAGGGCTAACCACTATACCACGTGATCAAGCACTAATGAATTTTTGAGTTTGTCACAAATACATTGTGAGTTAAGCATTACACAGAATTAGCAATCATTTAGGGTTCTTCAGTTATCAGTGTATAATGCAGCCACCGCAGCACTGTCAAGGAGAGGTCTGACACCACTGATCACTGGTTCATTACAAGTATTTAATAATTGCTTATGTGATTTTTTTTACAGCCGGTAAACAATAATGCAAGGATTATTTTTTCCCCCTTTATGATTAGTACTGGTGATGTTCATCACGTGAAAATAGGGAAAAAAGGGTGTGCCTGCTGTACATGACATTCATGCTGAAACGAACCTGCCAAGTGCAGGTAGGTAAATTCAGTTTACTGTCAGCAGAGGGCAACATAGGCCTCATTTGTGAATAAAACCAAAACGAAAGAAAGTATCACACCGACCTTTTAGTGTAATTGAGAGCAAACCCCAGTACACACCTGTACGTTTGCTGTAGAGCTGAAGTTTTAAAAGTATTAATCTTTTTCAGAATCATTTTGCATGCCTATGTAAAACATACAAAAGAGGAAAGCACTGCAATAAAGGCAATAACAAATATATTTGCTTTGGCTAAAATACATCAACTTTTAGGTGTTTATTGCCGCATCTTGTATGTCCAGCACACTTCATTATATCCAAAGCTGTTACCCTAAGAAGTAATTTTTATATTTATTTTTTTCAACCCTATGTATACTAATAGCTCTGTTTGTCATAGAATCATCCAAAAGACTAGCTGATTACACCAAAAGTAATGGAGCAAAATGCTGAAAATTAGTTTTACTGTTTTTTCTGTTCTTCATTAGCCTTAGGTATGATACTCATTTACCCCACTTCCTGTGCTTCTGTGTCATGCTGTCTTGCCTAGACTCCTGGACTGGTTACAGTTGGAAGGGACCTTAAAGCTCCTGTAGTTCCAACCCTCCTACCATGAGCAGGGACATCTTCCACTAGACCAGGTTGCTCAAAGCCCTGTCCAGGGTGTCCTTTATATCATATTTGTTGCCCTTCTCAAGCTGTGTTTGCTGAAGAACCACTGAGGTTAAATTTTAACATCACATAAATATCCTCTACTTTTTCATTCATCTCAGGGCTAAGCAAAGCCTAAGTGCTTTTCCAGCACCCCCAAGCCGAGCACTCCCAAAGCCCTATTTGCAAAGTGTATGCGTCCAGCTCCTGTTCCATCAGCATGGCAGGGCTCCCACCACCACACTGCCGTGCACTAGGGTAAGGCTGTGCCTAGCACAAGGACCCTAAGCGTTCACGGAGCCCCTTTAACCCCATGGCCATGTCAGAGGGAGCAACACCCAAAATGTGACAATAGCCCCAGTGGAAGCTGTGCCTTCCCACCGGAGGCTGCTTAGGAAAGCTGGCTGTTTCTACTGTGGCTCTACGGACACCGTGGCTCATTCGGAGGTGCTTCCAGCCCTGCAATGGCCCCGGGGGACAGCATACGAGCTCACACCGAATACGCTGCAGGAGGAGGGAGGATGGGGATGGCCTTCAGACAACGAGACGTGCCTTCTCTGCTCGGGGCCTCACCACCCACGGCGGGAGCAAACGGGTCTGCCCAACCTACGAGGCGAGCTTCTGCCTCGGGCTTCACACCCGCCCCACACAGCTCGTCGGCCGCCGGGGCTCACGGGAAGCCGCGGGGCCAGAGCGCAGCCGCTCCACCCCTCAGGTCGGCCCGCCCGCTCGCCGGACATGGCGGAAGGGCGCCCCGGCGCGCAGCAGGAAGCAGGAGGGAGGTGCCATGTTGAGGCCCGCTGCAGAGGTAACGGCTCCAGCCCCGCTGCGGCGGTACGTGGAGGCAGTGAGTTGTGTGGCAGCTGTGCCGCGTGTGTCGCTAGCGGCAGCGGGAGTGAGGCGCAAGGCTCCGTGATTCCGGAAAGGCGCTCCTCCGGGCCCTGGGACAGGAGATGAGGTCCGGAGGCGCGGCGGGAGGGAGCGGTGCGGGGTCTCCCCCGCGCAGTCTCAGCCCACGTGGGACAAAAACCGGCCCGCTTCTCCCCCTGCCCGGTTTTCCCGTCAGCATGGTGCTAGTCCCGGCTCGGGCCTCGGCGGCCGACGGGGATCGGGTAAACACTCCCTGAGAAGCAGGGCGCGATGGTGGGTAGGTACCTGCTGGCTGCTTGTGATGAGGCGTGTCAGGAGAGTGAGCAGGGGCGACATTTCACCCCTAAGCAATACTGCAGTGGATCAGACTTGAGTACACGTGTCCAAGGATGTGGAGGAAACAGTTTTAATGAAGGCTCCGGGGAGACCTGATTAGCAGCCTTTCGCTACCTAGAGGGGGCCTGCAGGAAAGCTGGAGAGGAGCTTTTTGCAAGGACACATAGTAATAGGACAAGGGGGAATGGCTTTAAAGGGAAAGAGGGTAGGATTAGATTAGACATAAGGAAAAAAATCTTCACTATGAGAGTGGTTTGACACTGGCACAGGTTGCCCAGAGAAGCTGTGGCTGCCCCATCCCTGGCAGTGTTCAAGGAAGGGCTGGACACGGCTTTGAGCAACCTGGTCTTAGTGGAAGGTGTCCCTGCCTGCGGCAGAGGAGTTGGAGCTATACGATCTTTAAGGTCCCTTACAGCTGTAACCATTCTATGACCTGGAGTAAAAACATGCAGTTAGGTGTACTCATTGCATTACTGAGGGACATTTTGGAGCATAGTACCAGTGTGCACTGGCCCACCCAATTTATAAGAGTGACTATGCAGGTTATAGTGGTACTGATCAGCTGCTGGCATCATGAGGCCGACTCCAGACCTCTCCCAGACAATCTGTCATCTGTGGCTGGCTGGCTGGCTTCCACCTCAGGCAAGTGTCAGCTGCTTTCAGACAAATACATATGGCTGGGCTGCTTCTCGCTACTGATTTGTATCATAAGTGGTTGTAATTCCCACTCACCGAAGAGGCTGACCTTGAAAATTGCAGTATGGTAGTACTATGGTAGATTTTTAGATATTTATTATAAACGTCTCCATGCAGCATTATGTCTTGAGATAAGTGAAATGCTGGCATAAATGTAGAAAGCAATTAGTTCACGCTTTTCAATGTAATATTATTTGTAATATTTCATTTTGTAATGAAAATTTCATTTCAGTTGTATTTCACATCTAATAATATCTTACAAATACCCTTTGTACACTTTCTCTGTAGAGGCGTCGGGAACATATGTGGTCTTCTGCATAAAAGGGATTTGTTTTTAGAGGAAAAGTTTACCATTTTTCAGTGGAAAACCTGTAAAAGAATGATAAAGCACTATCTAACACGTGTCCCTGACAGTGAAAAGTAGAAACAGTACTGAGCCAAGGCTTAACTAGAAACTGAATGTTAAAGCCATAAAAAGTCTGTGCTCATCTGACAAATGACGAAAAGCTCATAGAAGTTGATAAAACATGTTTCTATTACTTACATGTTCCATTTTTATATTAATTTGTCAGCACAATTTGCCATAAAAAGGCACTGCAGACTGAACATATACTTTTGCTTGTAATGTGATAGAATTGAAGTTTTTGATAGCTCTATATGAATAAGAATAATCTTTAAAGCCATTTTTGTCAAGGAAATGCTCTGTCTGCAAGGCAGTCTGGTTTTTTGGACTTCTATGCCAATGCAGAAGCTTACTGATAGGTACTGAGATCCACCTTAGGAAAGCTTTGTTTATACTGAGGCTGTCCAGTTTTCAAATCAGTACATTTGCAAGAGGATATAAACAGTATTTATGAAGACTGAATAATAAGTGGATGTGCAAGAATGTTAGATGAGATCTGTCACTTAAAAGCCAATTTTAAACCTGCAGCTCACAGCAAGTTCCTTCACGTCAGTAGGTTTAAAAGAACCCACCCAGCTAATTCCACCTAGGTAAATGAACAAGAAATTCAAAAGGAAGTTAGAAAAAAGGGGAGGAGAGCTCTAATACCAAGCAGGAACACATGAGATACCATTATAGGTGAACAAGAAAAGCATTGTCAGTCTACTACGGTTACAATAGAGTGCTCAAAACTGATTCCTTCAAATACTGGTCCTTGAAGCCACATCGTATATGATTGTGTAACCTTGCTTTTTTAAAAATAAACTTGGTATAATTTTGTCTGTGGTGGAAAGATGGGAACCCTAAAGGCTTACAGCCTTAAATGAAATGCAGAACAGGTCCCAGTTTTTTGCTTCTAAGAGCATTTTAGCATATAAGCCAATCTCAGTGTACTGAGAGTTTTGAATTATGATTTCCCAGTGTTTGGAGGACAGCATTATGAATGCTTCTTGTGCACAAACGTTGAGTAGAGGGAGCAGTCCAGATGTCTGATACAATCCCAGTGGTGTCAAGAGGGAGCGTGTGAGTGCTTCACGAGCTGGAACTGTTAGCATTAATTCTGTAAGCCATTGCAGTTAATGTATATTGAAGAAACCAGCTTCCCCTTGGAAGATGTCACTACTTCCCCTTGGAAGATATCACTGAAATTATGCAGTTGGTTTACTGTCCTAAGTGATTGGAAGTGTAAATATGATCATTTGCATCCATTCATGAACAGTTTAGGAGACCTAAATATATTGAGTGAAAGAGTTAATTAATAAATGATGACACAAAGCTGGTAAAATCATATTGCTATTGCCTGGTGTGTTTCTTGAGTGATGAAGAATGTGTATAGCATCCCCTTGCTGTGAGAAAATAATGACATAATCTTCATATTGTCTTTCAAGTTTAACAATGCTACTAATAAATTCTTTTTGGTTTAAATTCTGTTGCTGTTGGAAAAACATGAATGGTAGAAAATGAAGGAAAAGTTTCATAAAGTGCAAAAAAATAATTTCACACGGTGAAATTCAGATACATAAGCCATGATCTGTGTCCCTTCCATAGCTGCGTAGCATTAATTCTTGTCTGAATCATCTGCTTAAATTTCATTCAACACTCTTCTTTCCTGATGTGTATTTGTCACCTGTGGACAAAAGGGTAGTTCATGTTTCAAAGATATACACTATATATCAAAAGTCTGACTTTTGACCTGCTGGAAGCTCCAACTAGTACCTCATACTGGCGAGTAGTAGAAAGTGGCTGAGAGAAAAGGTATTCCTCTGCTAGCTTTGATAAGGCTTTGTCATAAAAATTTGAGAAAACAGAAAGCCCCATGAAAAATCTGTGTGACCTTGAGCCCAAACTTGAAAGCGTGATTTTGAATAAAGTTAATTAATACTGAAGAATGACCACCACGCACTGACCGATACCCTGCCCGACCCAAGCAGCTATCTGCCCTTGCAGGTGACTCCCCCCATTTTATACACTGGGCATGATGTGCTGTGGTATGGAATACCCCTTTGGCTAGTTTGAGTTGGGTGTCCTGTCTCTGCTCCCTCCCGGCTTCTTGTGCCCCTCCTCGCAGGCAGAGCATGAGAGACTGAAAAGTTCTTGATCGAAGTAAGCAATACTTAGAGAAACCATCTCTTTCTTTGTGTGAAATGGTGCAAGTTTTAAAGCAAATAGAAGCACGTTATTTATACATAATTTCAGATGAAATTTAAATCACAAATCTCTGATATATTTTATTATTGCCCCACTGAATCATGATGTATTAGAATGTATTATGTACCTGTATAGCTATTCTGTTGTGGAAGACATTAGTGATACCTTTACTTGATACTTGCAATCTGTAACTTGTTAAAACTAAACTTTGTAAATTTTCTTTTACACCTTCAAAGTATTTTATTAAAAAGGTCAACCACATCAATAGAGGTAGAGATTTCAAATCAGTGGAATAACATTACTTGTAACACTTTCAGGGTTTAAGGTGTTTGTCTAACTTGGATAACCACGCAATTGAATGGGAAAAATTCACAGGTGTAAGGCAGACAAGATACAGGAAAAGCTAAAATACCTCCCAGTAAGAATCAGTTTAATTTTAAACTATTAAAAGAATCTGTTAGCAAGGTAACATCTCTGCTGGGATGTGTGTGCCCACTGTAACATCATCTGGACCTCCTAGAACTCAAAACAGCTATATGTGTTCAGTTCGTAAAGAATTTCCCAGATACATTTTGCCATGAGACAAGTCAAAGGTGTTATTCATCTGGTGTGGCTGTAATATTTGGAGTCTTTTCCTGAGCCCCAGCTTATATACTAAGGTCAAACAAAGCCAGCAGCTAAGCAGTCTGGTTAAGGCAGCAGCTGTTCCAATCTCATTACATCCATGGATGTTTGATCTTACTAAAAAAATGTGCTGAGAACTCTACTTTAGGGTAGGCTCCAAATCAGGCTTAAAAAGTCTTCTTTGTAAAAGAGGCTGTTGTGTACAGCTTCACATGAATGCAATGTACTCTGCCCTCTCTCCCCTGCAAACTCCTTCTCTTGGGAAGAAAGCTGTGGGAGAATGGTTCCAGTGAGAGAAACACGGGGTAGATGCAGTATAGCTCCAGATTAGTTAAGAGTGCTGCAGTTCAAGCAGTCAATGATGTAAAAGATGCAGAACAAAGCTATTTATCTATCAGACTACTTTCCATTATGCACAAACTTTTTCACCAGATATTGTCCTTGAGAATTTCTTGAAACAGTGTTTTCCAAAGTATTCTTCCTTAATTTTCATTTTCTTGATTGCTGTGGCTCTATTCTGTTGTTTTAAAAAGAATAAAAGGTGCACTTTGCCTCTGGTATTACAGTGATAGAGTTGTGCAAGTGAAGTAAAGATTTTTGAGAAATGGTTTTGCAGTAATCTTGAGCTCACTTAATTTGCTGCTTCTTGATCTTTGGCCGAGAGATGACTCTCTTGGTCAGTGAGTATCAGTGGTCATTGACATCTGACAATAGTACTGTTGTATCATCTCAGTTATTATTGTATTTAGCTTTATTAGCTAAAGAAAAAACTTAGTTTTATTCATGTGGTTATTCTTCAGAAAGCAATTTTTCTATAGTTCAGAAATTTGTGAGGGTGGAAGGGGTTCCTGCTGAGAGGCAGGAAGAGCTCTTATTTTTGCCAAGATGAAATAAAAGCCCTGGAAAATGATTTATTGGTGACATCTTTGATGTGTCTTTCACTGTAGATAACAGTGAAGTAATGTTTTTGAGTCTGGAGGCTGGCTGTGAGAATTTTCTGATTTCTACTTAGGCTCTGAATTTAAAATAGCATTTGATAATTTTTTGTTGTTTATATGGAATTTAGGTTGCCCAAAGCAAGAAATATGCTATTTCCAAGACTCTGCTGTGTGTATTTTTGGCAGAAGTTTTATTGCACCATTAAGAGTACTTGGCTTCTTCTGATCTTTATGTTGGCTGTGGTCTGGATTTTCTACTGATTACATAGGATTCCTTAGAGAAAAAAAATCATCTACTTTTGAGATTGGTATGAGGAAGGAGTGGTGTTTGGCCTTCTCTGCCCTTCTAAAACATTCATCCATACTTACTTGGATACATTCTGGGTTTGTCTTGGTTTATTAGTGGGAGTTACCTGTACTAAGGAAAAATAGGTTATGGCTTTGAGACTGATAGGCATATAGCAGAGAAAAGGCATTAACCCCAAATGGTTTTGGAGAGGACAGTGTATTTCTCAGGGACTGGCTTTGCAGTTAATAGCAAATGTCTCAGTCTGGGTTGGTTGGTTGGTTGTTTTTTTCCTGCTTAGTCATTTTACTGTTTAAAAAAGTTCTGATTCAACGTGGTATTATTACAGGATGGCCATATCTTAAACTGAGATAGACTGATCTTTTTTTCCTTAGGAGCAAACTGACTTACATGATTTTTATTGATCACCATCATTTATTCTTGTATACGGGAGTGACTCATCATATGATGCAGTCAGTGTGAGAGACCTAATGATTTAGCAAGAAAGTGCTTCATCATGATAGCATTACAGTTTCTACCTTGTAACCTTCAATAGATACTTGGAATTCAAACAGATGTTCTCATGCATTGCTAAAGTTAAGCAGGGTGGAAATGCCTTGTTTAGTTGCACGGGAGATGAGAATGTTCATTTTGTACTGCACAAAATTGTGATACTATCATTTGTACTTTCATTCTTGCATCTCTACAATAAAAAAAACTTCGTAACTTATTTGAATAAACAAATCCTCCCTTCTTGGATTCCTTACTTCTTGGAACTAGAACACAGCAGAACAGTGCTGGCTGAGTGTGATTCAGTTAATTTAGCAAGTATTTGTTCAGCAGCATTTGCCAAATATTGTCAAATCAGGTATAAAAGTGGTCAGATCCCAAATTCAAAAGATGTCGAATGAAAGAGCAATATACAGGACAATGACTGCATAAGGGATGCACACTTTCCCTCCTGTCTGTATCCCAGCACCTTTGGATTTACAGGTTTGTGGGGTTTTTTTTGTTTTATTTTCCCAAAGCAAATAGGTACCTAAAAATGTGAAGTCTCCTAAAGGTCATAGGGAAATTATTTTGTCTTTTTTCTTAACAGGTTGGATTTTCTCCTTATGCACATTTCACAAGGCTCATGGGTTTGCTATGCTCCAGCTCCCTCAAGTGGTAAAATAATTTTCCATTTGGAATTGCAGCTTGGTTTCTGTGAAGCGCTTGCTTTCTACTCAAAAAGTTTTAAGGCTTCTTCCAACTTCCTCTTTATCTTTTTTTTTTTTATTTTTATTTTTTGTTTTTCTCTTCCCTCAAATTTTGAACATTATGAACAGCTCCTTAGGACTGTGGAGTTGTCAAAGAAGTAGAGCTGTGGTTTAAAACATTATCTTTGTTCTGCAGCTGACCTATTGAACCAGTTTAGGAAGGTCATTTCACCCTGTAAACTTTACTTCTGTTATCTGAGAACTAGAGAGAATGATAAATATTTGTAGACAATTAGAGTATTTTTAATGCCTACCTCTCAATTCTTTTTAAAAGTAGTTTGTATTTCAATCAGTGATTCTGCTTCTTTGACACAGCATAAAACTCAAAAATGCCTTGTCAGTGGGCACTCAGAGATCTGGCAGCTATCTTGGGTAGCAACCTTCCACTATTCTTTGTACAAAGCAACAAAATAAAGCATATACATACGTGGAGGCTTTGCAATCCTACCACAAACACCAAAACCCTGTTTTACAGCAGGAACATTAGAGTTCAAGGAACTGGAGTCTGAGCAGGAAAGAACTCCAGCTTGCTATACCTAAGTTCTCAGTGAACTTTAGCTAGAAAATACACTCCAGTAGTACCACTGTATCAGTAATTTCTTGTTTCTCCATACAAGAACATGAAAAACATGTTTTCTACAGTTGTCTGAAGAAGTCACATTGTGTGATTAGAGAAGTTTGTGCTTGACATCCAGACTTAATATGAAATGCTATGCAGGGATTCCAGTATTAAAGAAGAGCTCCGCCTCATCTTTTGAAGAAGGCAGCAGTGGTAAAGTAAGCCATTTCATAACTGCATATGTTATTTAGAAGTTGAGGAATCTCTCTTAAATTTCTTATCCTGTAAAATAATAGTCTCTGTCAACCTTGGTGATAAATCCAATCCTTGCTTGATTTATAGGGCAACAAATGCACAGTTTTGTTTTGGTTTTCCACCACACTGCCTTTTAATTTGGAAGGTGAGATTAAATTTATGATTGAGTAGTTAGCCTAGTATTTCAGAGCTATGCATTACTTTTCATATTGAAGGATCTTAAGATCTTGGCAAATTAGGTACACGCAGCAAAGCCTGTACCATTCCAAGAATTCTTTCCCCATACAAACCTTTCTGTTGTCACTGATAAAGACATGTTTATTACCTTTATTTAGTGGTTTTTCTGCTGGCTGTTTTTTATGCTTATGCCAGTTACCAGGGGATATCCTGCTCCATTGAAATAATTAATTAAGGATTTGGTTCTGATTTTGTCATGTATTTTGATAACATACTTTCTTCTGTTATTTTCACCTGGGTTTGCTTAGTAAGTTTGAAGGGAGCAGGTCACTCAGTCCTACCTCTTTGCTACATGTTGTACATGTTGAGGAAAGTATTCCCTTAGAAGTGCTTGTTTTTACTTAAATGTGAATAGTCTGTTAGGTGGTTGAACTTCCAAAGTTATTTTAAAATCATTGTTTATATTTTGGTGTCCATATTCTGTTTTCAGTTACAGTAACTGTAAATGACATAACATTTATGAACTTAAATTTAACGTTGCATAAACTTGAAAAGGTTAATGCATGACTAATAAGATCTTAAAATTTGTAATAATTTATTGCCTTAGCGTACATGTGGAAAAAGTCCTGAGGTAGAACATATATACTGCATTTAGCCCACTCTAAACCAGCCTTTTATGTATCTGATAGAGTTAAAAAATAAAAAACTAAACCAGGTTGTCTTAGCTCTGCCTATTAGGGAAAAAGCATCTTAGTGTGGGTGATGAATTAGCATCAGCTCCTTCTGAGTAGCTGTAAGTGTCCAATAAGTGTAAGGTAACTCACTGAGTGTGTGGCAGAATGGCTGCATTCTTACTGCAGATGCCAGCGTATGGGCTCTAGGTCCCCTCAGAGGTTTTGTGTTAGTCACCCCAGCTGTCAATGCCTCCTTGTAGCTGTGGAGAGAGAAGAGAAGAAGGAGACTTTTGCAGCCATATAATTTTCTTGTGTGAGATTAGCCACACAAATGGGTATATTTTCACCTTGCCACCCTGGTGGGCTGCCTAGGATCAGGTGGATAACCATGAGCAAGGACCACTAACATAAAGCAGATGATCTCCATGGACTTTAATCATCATTTCTTACATACAGATCTTCACCCTGCGCTGTAAGAGAGAAAACTTTCTGTGAAGCACAGCCCTCTATGAAAGATCAAAATACCTCACCTTTGTCCAGGATCAAAGCATATGCATGGACTAATTACCAACAGAGCACTTTGTGAGTAGTTTTTTTTTTGCATGTCAATAGTCCTGTATACTAAATATTGAGAATTCATGAAGTCATCTTGCATTTGGATAAGTATATTTTATGGTATGTGTAGCATAATACAACACTTACATACATACATACAAGAACTGAAGAAAATTACATTTGGAGTATGTTGGGAGGAGTTCTTGATTCCAAGGCATAGGGCAATCATACTGGTTGAGCATGTAACTGTGTCATCAGCTCTGCCCTGTTTGCATGAAAAACAGTAAATCAGCAGATCACCATTTTCTGAGGTCAGCTACTTGGTGTTCTGGAGACAGGGAACTGTCCTGCTGTAGTGATGGCTGCCCTACATAATAAAACATCTCTTTCTACTCTCACAGCCTCTGTGTGGTCCTGCAGCAGAACAGATGATTAGATACAATTATATGTACTTTTCAGTATAGCAAAGCATAAAGTTCAACTTTAGTATTTGAAAAATGCATCCTGTTTCTCTGGTTCTGAAATGTCTTGACCAGTAAATCAGTTCCTGTAATAGCTATTACTGAGGTTTTGCAGGACTTCAAAATGTTGAGACAAGAAGGAGCTGTTTAAATACACATTAAGTGAATGCAGAGAGTTTAAATTCACATTAAGTGAATTCATTGTGGAGGTCAGTGGTTAAGTATTATAGAAACAGATGATGGTTCATGCTGTTTGTCTCTGTCCTTTTCTTTGTGGAGCTCTGAGGCTCTACCTAAAGTTTGGACTTATTTCTGTCGTGCGTAAAACAGGTTAGTTGGGCTGGTGGTTACAGAAAGCAACAGAGCATGCGAATCACCCAGCTGAATCACTTGTTCCTTCTCTCTCCCCATTCTCTAGGAGGTTTCATCATGGAAAAAATGATGGTGCAAGAAATCTGCTTGAGTTCTTTTAAATACGGACATCTGTAGCTAGCCCTGTGTCAGCCAATCAGGCAGATGACTTTTTCTAGGGTAGAATCAGGATGTGTATAACTTCAGACAAAAAACTGGTTTTGTGCACAAGTTTAGAAGACAAACTCCTAAGAAAAGAGGAACACTTAACACATTCAATTCTGCATTCAACATTCTCAATTCTCTTTTGCAGCAAACAGGAGAATAATGTTAGTAGTATTAACACTTTTTGTGTGTAAATTTCACAACAGCAATGTACTGAGCATTTTTTGATGAAAGGGCTTGATAAAAAGGAATCAAAAGGAAATATTCAAGCCATGAGACTGCTTCTGAAATCCTCTTTTTCTTTTCATTTAACATGTCAATGTATGGAAGTGTGCTTTAGTAATTCTGTGGCTGTAAGAAAATAGGTACTTTTTAGAAGATAGAGGGATATGTCTTTTAACTTTTAAAGAATTTCCAAAAATAACAATTGGGAGTTTGAGATTTCACTGTTTTGAAACCATTTTGTAGATATCACTGGTTTTGAGCTGCCCTTCCTCAATAATCAAACTGAAATATGATGCCAGGCTGGAAGGGCAGCAGTGGGGACCTCAGTTTAAAATTTATTAGTCTGACTTGCCTCTTTGTTAGCAACTACAAAGATAAACTTTTGGAAGAGATATATAAGTGATTTCTTGCATAGCAAGTGAAAGGTGAGCATCATGTAGGAACTAGGGTGGCATTTTGGGTTTAAGGTCCATGAAATTATATCAGGGTCACTTCAACTTGCTGCAGAGTAGCCCCAGACCTTCACTTTGCAGCTCCAAATAGACTGTGTTCAGCTACTTACTGCATAGTAATTGAAGAAACGCCTGATACCAAGTTATGGTGATGTATAAAAGTTTGTCAAAAGGCCTGAAAACTGTGGCATCTCCACTAGGTGCTTGACAAAGTCATTTATGTCAGTGTTTTTTAGGCAGATACCATGCCCACATTAGCTGTTTAATTTTATTCTTTTGAAGTTAACAAAGGCTTGATGAAAAAGTCTGAAATGAAAATAACCCAACCAACCAGCCAATCAAAACCCAAGCAAAAATTCCCACAAAACAAAACTGCCCAATTCCCAGTATCTCATCTGTCTGCTGTAGAAGTTAATACTAACTAAAACAATATGAGTGTGTGAGGTTTCTTAAACTTTCTAGCTTTGTATGCTTTATGGGTCATGGGATAATATGCAAAGTCTCCCTGTAATCTCATACAACAGAGTGGTTGTGTATTGATCTACTTTGCAGTAGTTGAGAACCTCCCTGAGAACATCTGTTGTGTGCATGCAAGACTGTTTTCGAGAGACCATGTTCTTTTCCTTAAATATTAGTGTCATACCCTACTTTTAAGTTGTTAACCCTACTATAGGAGAAGTCCCTGTAGGCTTTCTTTTTTGGCAGTATTCTTGCACAAGTTAGACTACCTATACCCACTTGCATTTTTCCAGGACCCAAGCTTCTCTGCATTTTGCATTTGCTCCACTAGCTCTACACCATTTAAGGTAAAAGCTGGAAAAAACATTAAATAGTGTAAAATATCATAAAAAGAAACATAAGAATATACAGAAAATTAATTCATGTCATAACTGCAATAAATACAATAAACATTTTTTTGCTTTCAGGTTTCAAAATGTCTGAGCAGAAGAACATTGTACACAGAGCCCATTGTATTGAAAAACTACTGTCTGAGAACAGTTTCCAAGATATTGAATATCATCTTAAAGAACTTGAAGATGTTGATATGACTACAGAGTATCTTCAGGGGACAGGAGTTGCCAAGGCTGTATATAGAGTACTCAAGAGCTGCCCTTCAGCAGAGTTAAAAAAGAAAGCAAAGCAGTTACTGTCAAGGTGGAAAGCACTTTACAAGAGTAACTCTGTTGAATCGATCCAAGTTAAAAAGTCAGATTTTGTGTGTGTGAAAAAGGAAATTGAGTATCTTAGCGAGGTTCCTAGAGAACAATCACTGTCCGAAGAACCATGTCAGCAGGAGGCATTAGATGCTACTAGTTCTAAAATGTTGATCCCATCACAAGCTGTTAAAAATGTAGTACATAATGAGGCAGAAGGCAGCATGAATCAGCTTTCTTCTTTTGAGGAACATCACACTGATAATGATTCTAAACTTCTTCCTAACCAAGCAAGTCTGCAGCAGGATCCAATGAGAGCTCTGAGGTGTAAATGTACAGATCTTCTTTATAAATCTTTGGCTGGTTCTGCCAAAGACGAAGAAACTGATAAATGGCTAGAGCTTGCTAAAGAAATAGAAAAATGTATTTTTGATCTTCATGCTAAAAGTGACAAAAAGTATAAAAATTGCATCAGAAGCAAAATTGCTAACCTGAAGAACCCTAAAAGTTGCCACTTAAAACGTAACCTTTCTTCAGGGACTTTGACTCCAAAGGCGTTTGCCGAGATGACAGTGATGGAAATGGCCAGCGATGAACTGAAACAGCTGAGGGCTCTGTACAGTGAATCATCTCTTCAGGAACATCAGCTTCCACAAGTTATTAATGGCACACAGACAAACAAAATAAAGTGTAGGCGTTGTGAAAAATTTGATTGCACAGTCACTATGATCACCAGAGGAACTCTCTTTCTTCCAGGTTGGGTGAGAAACACAAATCCAGATGAACAAATGTTGACTTACGTTATTTGCAATGAATGTGGAGAACAGTGGTATCACAGCAGATGGTTTTGTTTATAACGCCATCCCTCTTTAATAAGCAGTTTAGAACCACATATGAGATGGGATTTCAGTTTAAACTGTAGTTTAGATTGTTTTTATTGGTACTATGTAGATACTGCAAGTAAAAAGAGAAAAAACAGGTTTTAAAAATTGCTAAGTTATAGTTGAAGATGACTTGAATAAATCTATGTGGTTTTAAGTAATGTCAATATGTAAAGAAATGAAGGGAAAAAATGGTAATAGTGTGTCTGAGAGTGGAATATTCACTGGTAAATCCATTAAAAATATTCCAGATGTTGCAGGTTTTTTTTTCCCGGAGATGATGAGTACATGGGATTTTCGTTGTCTTCAGCAGGAGTTCTTTCACAGAATGCAAGTTTCATTTAGAATCAACAAACTGTTCCCAAAACTGCAGTTCACAGAATGTTCAGCATAGATTCACTCCTTAATTAAATGACTTTTTGCAAGTAAGTGTTAGATTATTAAGTTCAAGAGATAATGTCTAAGAGGAGAAAAAAAAGAATGAATAACAGTGTAAAAGAGGGAGAAGGAGCTAGCTAATGAATGCAGAAATTAAATTCTTCAGCTTTCTACAGCTGTTGGGAGGGAAATAGGACTTCTGACAATCTTGCCAGTTTGCAGTTCAGATTTGCAATGTAAGGTGATGTGTCCTGTTACTGTCAAGAAATTAATGGAGGATCAGACAATAATTTATTTTTTAAAAAGTATGTTATTAAATTTATCTTTGTTTAATAAAGGCATGAAACTAATTACTTTCTGAATGGAAATTTTCTCTTGAACTGGTACATCTGTCCTGCACTGAACAAATTCATGTTTTTATATAGTGCATATTACCCAGAAAAATGAATATGAGGAACTCTAATAGCTGAAGTGTTTATATGTGTTTTTGTTCCAGAGGCAACACTGGCTGTATTCCAGGAGCATTTATTTATTAAAAAAAAAAAAAAAAAAAAGCCCCTCAGCATTCTTTTTCTGGAAAATATAAAATGACTTCAAATTCAGCTGAGTACTTAAAATGGACTTTTCTGAACTGGGAGAACCACCCGAGTCTGGGTATCTTTCACAGTTGTCTGTTGGTCTGTACTGTAGAAGTCTCTCTTCATACTGTGTGTCTGTATTTTGATTTCTTCACTGGTTTTGAGTTACTGTAAATGTGTAAATGAGAGGAAATGGGTCTTGCATTGAGTCCTGATTTTATGAGCACATCAGTGTGTCAACTCAAGGACCTAAGAAGATGCAGTGGAGAATAAATCTGCACTGCCAGCCTGCCTCTTGCAGCAAATCAGTGGTACTGTCTGGACACATAACCTTCATAATGAATTTCCTTGTTGGAGATGGTGAAATGGGTCAGTAAATTGCCAAAGTCATGCTTTAGGCACAGAGGAAAGTGTTTAGTTTCACTCTTATATAAACAATGAAATGGCATACTTAGCATTAATGGAGGTATCTTTTACAAATGCTTAACAGGCTTTTTGCAGTTCAAGGCTAAAATGCATCAGCTGAGCAGAGACACCTGGTGAGTGTGTGCTGGAGGAATTAAGGGCAGTTCCTTCACCTATCTGGCTGTCACACAGCTGAGGCTGGTCAGCTTTTCAGGGCTGAGGCAGTGCCCTGGAGCTCTCCAGCCACATGACGTGTCAGAGAAAGGAGTTGGGGCATGGAATGAGAAAATATAGCTAGCGGTGAACTAAAAGCCAGCCAGGATTGAAAATAAAAGAGAAGATGGGCCTTTATGTGTATATGGTGAAAATGGTGTGTAACCTGATGTTACAATCTTTTCCATTCTGTGAAGTGTAAACTTTCAGCAGTGTGACTTACTGTGATTTAACATGTGAAAATGTGTGTTTTAATGGAATTCCACTGATGTAAAACAAATATTTAAGCATTATGCCAGACCTCCACTGTTCAGTTGAGTAACCAATCAGTTTAGTAACAGCCTTCCTTCCCACCCCTGCTCATGTGCTCAGATTGATGCTTACAAGTAGTCCTTCCTCCTTGTTTAAGTGGAAGTACTTCAGTGAAAAGTATTATTTTTATCTTTCAGTAAAACTCCAGGAAAGCAAACACATCTGTGTTACTGGTTCACAGTAAGCACAAAGTTGCGTGCTGTTGTTTTGGAAGTCGTGGTCCTATTGAGGGAGCTATATGCCAGTTCTGTGCAGTGTCGGAACACTGTGTAGCAGGAGAGTTTTATTTTAGCTGTGAACAACAGACAGTTATAAATAATTTCTGCCTGCATATGGTTTTGAAGCCATTCCAGTAATGTACAGCTCATCCAAGTTTTGTCTTGGCAAAGTGAAATGTTAAAGTCATGGACAGTGGTTTTAAATTATATATCAAGGGTAAAATTTGTAACCATTATATTGACTACATTTGTGATGTAATGTTGTAACCATAGAATAGTTTAGTTTGGAAGGGACCTTCAAAGGTTATATAGTCCAACCCCCTCTTTCACTTGATCAGGTTGCCCAGCGCTGCATCCAGCCTGTTCTTGAATATCTCTGGGGAGGATGCATCTACACCGCTCTGGGCAACCTGTGCCAGTATTTTACCACAATAGTTGTAAAAAATTTCTTCCTTGCTTCCGGCCTGAATCTCACCTCTTTTAGTTGAAAACCGTTACCCCTCATCCTATTGCAACAGGCCCTGCAAAAAAGTCTCTCCCCATCTTTCTTATATGCCCCTTTTAAGAACTGAAATGCTGCAATAAGGTCTGCATGGTGTTTTCTCCAGGTTGAACAACCCCAACTCCTTCCACCTTTCTTCATAGAAGAGTTGCCCCAGCCCTCTGATCATTTTTGTGGCTCCCCTCTGGACCTTCTCCAACAGGTCCATGTCTTTCCTGCGCTGAGGACCCCAAAGCTGAATGCAGTACTCCAGATGGGGTCTCACCAGCGCAGAGCAGAGAGGGAAAATCACCTCCATCAACCTGCTGGCCACACATCTTTTGATGCAGCCCAAGATACAACTGGCATTCTGGGCTGCGAGTGCGCACTGCTGGGTTATATCCAATCTTTCATCCACCAGTACTCCTAAGTACTTCTCCTCTGGGGTACTGGTGTAACCTCCTTTTCTTTTGAACTGCCCATCAGTAAATGTATAGTGCTGAGCCATATGCCCCAACAGGACTGGGGTTTTCTACAGATCCACAGTTACTGAACAGCTGAGGAAACATGAACAGCTGATACCTTAACACTTTTTCAAATCACTGAGCGAGCCTGCCTTACTGTGATCTAAGTGAGCTCTGCCTGCAGCAGCACAACGGTCATTTGGCTCTTCTAAGATACAGAAGTAATAAAATCCAGTTAGTAACAACTGCAGTTGCAGTTTATATGATATAGAAACAACTGACAGTAAATACAAATTGACAAATAATGGATTGTAATCATGCCACTTTCACAACTGTCCCTGAACTTTCTTCTGTCCGTTTCAAACCAAGACCAGTCAGAAGTCTTAGGGCAAGCCCTCAGCATTTTAAAGTAGTTTTACATGGTAATACATTGTGAGCAGGCATTCCTCCATTGCCTTCCTTCCCAATAACAGTTGAACCCGAGAGCTGGCTTTGCAACTAATCCAGTTAAATCTATACATTAAAAGATGAGAATGTATTTGTAAATCTTGCGAAATCCAGAATTTCTGTTCCTATTTACAGAGATGGAGCCCTTATCTTTTATTCAGCAGTTACCTCACCTAAGCTGCTGGCTGCTGGTTAAACACACGCATAGTTGCTAGGTTGTTAGTTATTACCTGAAAGCCAGACACAAAATACACTCGTGCTTGCCCGGATAGTAGTTTGGCACAAGGAGATCTGGGAATACTGGCAGAAAAGAGCAGAAAGTGTTGGGAAGCAGGGAAACTGAACCGAACTTGTTTTAAGAGTGCTGAGGACACAACTCTTTAGGAAATGGAGCTTTGTTGTTCCAGGACTGGTGAAAAAGCTCATCCAGGTTTGGTTTCACTTTATGCCTAGTTCATACCAGTAAACATGCTGCCTGCAACTCTACATATAACAGTGAAACTGCATACAAAATCATGAATCATTGTGTTCCCTTCTTGGGTTATTTTCACCTAAGATAGTTCATTGCTACTTTGGCCATTTTTCTGTGTTTGTATCCAATGCTTGTTACTTGAAAGGTTTAATAAAAAACAGATGTCATGTGTAGCATTGTGTGACACTGTATGTCAGGATATTCTACAGACATGAGGTGTCAAATATGAGATGGTCATTCAAGTAAATCATTGCTGTTATTTAAAGAGGTGTGTTCATAATTTCACTAAGCAAATTACTGCCCCAGGCTGCAGTTTGTTAATAGGTTATATTGTCCCTACCCAGACTGTGTAACTGCGCAGGCTTAAAATGTTTGACTGGATAAGATTGTGTGCTTTGGCTCAAAAAGGCTCTAAAGAGTCAACTTGGACCTACACAGTGTATATGCCAGCAGGAGGGTCTAGATCATGGTAGTACAGGGAGTACTGGAGTCTAGAAACAAGAATAAAAAGGAAAGCTTTGAAAAGTGAGATTCTTATATGTTGTTAAATTGTCCTTTTCTTTTTTTTTCCCCTTTTTTTTTTCCCAGTTTGTCCAGATGTGAAAAAGACCTCTTAACTTTTTTAAGCAGAGACAATTAATTTTGGTATGATGTTTAGCATATCCATATTGCTGTTCCACAAAGAAGCATGATATTAGAAGTGATCCAAACAGACACAGAACAAATTAGGCTGAATAAAAGTAACCAAAAAGTAGCCAGGTAAGTCTGAACTCCGTATGTGTTTTCACTAAGTTTTCCAGAGAGGCTGCAAATTCAGCCGCTTCGTGAATCCTATGATTTAATAGTAGCAATAAGTTCTTAAACGTAGATCACTCAAAGCTCAAGCAGCCTGGGGCTGCAGGACTTGCAATACATGTCTTGAAAATATGAGAGCTAAATTAACAACTAATTTCACACAGCTTTCAATGTAAGAATAAATATATTATTAAGAAGAGCTCTGCTAATTAGAATCAGTCTTGGTGCTTTAACATCAAGTGACAAAACTCATGGTTCCTGGAGATCCACTGCCAGATCCATTTCGTTCTCTTCTATTGAGTGCCTTTTGTATCTCACTCTTAACTCTCACTATAGCACTTTTCAGGGAGGTACTACGGCTGCCATTTGTTGTTTATAACTCTTTTTTCCTTTCCAAACCCGAAGAAAATTTGTGCTGTTTATTGTTTATTTAAAGTGTGTTCCTTTCAGTCTGCTGTGCTATGTACATCTGTTACTAAAGCCAAGAAATGCAGCTCTTTAAACAAACAAAAAAAAAAAGAACAGCTTTTTCTGACAGGAAGAAAAGTTACCTGGTAACAGGCTGTGGTTAAAGAGCAAGTATGTTGAATTACAGTCCTTCAGGGAATCTTCAGGGTGTAATGGCCCAGTTCACTGAGTGCCTGGAAGATAAGGAAAGAAACAAGAGCACTTTGATAATTTCTTGGATTGCTTAGGGGCTGGGTTGCTGCATTCTGGTATTAACAGAGGCATAAAGGCAAGTGACTTCATATCCCCCTATTTTGTACTGCTGTAATTCAGCCAGGAGGTGACAAAGTCATGTTTTACTGAGGCCATGTCATCACTTGCCAGGATGGAACAGTCTCCTTGCCAACTACAGATGGTAAAAAGCATTATTGACAAGCTCTATAACACGAGAGCTTTGCTGATACAGAACTTTCTCATAGACACACACAAAAAATTGCCCTTTATTTGTTATTGGGATGCTGTTTGTGCTGTTTGCCAGCACATGACATAAAGACCTCTTCCTGAATACAGCTCTGTGAATAAAATCCTTAAGGTGCAGAGTATGCTTTCAGATGAACATGCACATGAGGGAGCATGTGGGTGGTGGGAGCATAAGGGGTGGTGGGCCCACTGTCAGGACCCTACACTGGCTGCAGAATTTAAAACGGGAGTGATTTTGGTGCACGTTTCAAACCACATCTTCTGTATGTACCTAAGAACAGGCAGGTTTACTTCATATGACCAGCTTCATCAGTGGCATTATTTGTTCTAGAGTTTTCGATTGTTCTACAGCAACTATTGGCTTTGTTACACACATGAGTAATAGTAACAGGGTGGACACAAGGGAAAAGGACCTTTAGTTCCTGATCCTCAGGCATGCATGTGTGTGTTTTAACTGTAGAACTAAATCTATTAATACTCAGTTATGCCTGTAACATCATAAGCATAATAGGCCATGGTTACATTATGGTTCTTTTCTATTTTCCTTTATGTTCCCATATAAAAGAAATAAAAATACGTCTTATATCAAAAGTTTAAGAATTTTGTTTCTAACTAGATTTTTAAGAATGCTTGAAAAGTGCGCCCATGTGAACCTCATGTTGTTCAACAAGGCCAGGTGCAAGGTCCTGCATCTGCACTGGGGCAACCCCCAGTATCACTGCAGGCTGGTGGATGAAGTGATTCAGAGCAGCCCTGCAAAGAAAGACTTGGGGGTACTGGTGGATGAAAAGCTGGACATGAGCTGGCAGTGTATACTTGCAGTCCGGAAAGCCAACCGTATCCTGGGCTGAATCAAAAGAAGCGTGACCAGCAGGTAAGATGGTGATCCTGTCCCTCCCTCTACTTTGCTCTCATAAAACTCCATTTGGAGTATTGTGTACAGTTCTGGTGTCCTCAACAAAAAAAGGACACGGAACTGTTGGAGCAAGTCCAGAGGAGGGCCATGAAGATGATCAGAGGGCTGGAGCACCTTTAGTATATGGAGACAGGCTGAGAGATGGAGTTGTTTAGCCTGGAGAAAGCTCCATGGAGACATTAGAGCAGCCTTCCAGTACCTAAAGGGGTCTTATCAGAAAGACACGGACAAACTTTTTAGCAGGGCCTGTTGTGATAGGTGTCTGCCCCATCCCTGGAAACATTCAAGGTCAGGCTGGACAGAGCTCTGAGCAACCTGATCTAGTTTAAGGTGTCTCTGCTCATTGCAGGGGTATTTGACTACATGACCCATAAAGATCCCTTCCAACCCAAACTATTCTATGATTCTACGATTTATCTCCCTTAAGTGTATCCAAATGTCTGAGAACCAGTGTTGTCTCAAGAAATACGGTAGCTTCATCCCATAAGATATCAAGTGCAAAACAGTAATTATCTCCTCCACTTCTAAATGCAGTTGACTTTTTTTTTTTTTGGGGGGGGGGGGGAATGGGTGTTTTTTGTGGTTTTTTTTTTTTAATCATTTTAAATCACAAAATAATGCAATAACTCGAAGACCATTTTTCTGCTCCTCCAGCACTTACTTGTATTTTACTTTAGCATTGTATGAAAGCAGATCCCAGGGGAAAAAGTACTCAAAAATTTCAAAGTCCAGCTTTATTAAATAAGAATGGGACTAGTATCATCAGATGTACCTTTAGCATGGCCTGCCTTTTAATACTCCTCCTGTCAGTAGGAGGCATTTCCTTTTGATGATACTGAGATCTTGTTTTCCTTTTGTTGGGACGTATTGTAAATCTGATCCAAAACAAGATGACTCTGCAAGTAGCAATTCCAGTCTGATTGCATCTCCCTTATGATCAGAGGCATGTGATGACTGCTAGAGCACATGGGTGTATTTCCAGTGCTCTTTTTGGACACCTGTCATTGCCTATCCCTCTTGATGATGTGGGAACTTCTCCAAATACACATAAACAATTTATGCTTTTTTCATTTTAATTACATTTTGCCCCGTCCTCATGATGGTTTGTAAAAGCACAAAAAAAGTCTTTATACCAGCTGCTTCAGACCTTTTTTCCTGTGATCTTGTTTAAACAGTCAAGTCGACATTATCCTGAATTCCTACAGGAAAAAAAAAAACATACATATATATATAGTGTCTGACTACTCTTTTTAAATAGTGCACTTTGGGCTTTGGTTAGTTTCTTCAGTGGCATGTGAAGTTGCCTTACAGTCAGGAGTTTGTTTACATTGGGAGCATGCAACGTGGAACATGCGATGTGGAGCACAGTGAGACTACTGCTTTTAATAAATAACTCTGACCTGCAAACAGCTATGTAAAGGTGTTTTAAAGTGGAGTAATTCAGCGCATTATTACAGATACAAATAAAAGTATTGTCCTTTTGCAGTGGAACAGCACTGCTTCTTTTAAATCATAGAATCACAGAATAGTTTGGGTTGGAAGAACCTAAAGCTCACCTAGTTCCAACCCCCTGCCATGGCCAGGGACACTCCACTAGACGAGGTTGCTCAAAGCCCCGTCCAGCCTAGCCTTGAACACTGCCAGGGATGCGGCATCCACAGTTTCCCTGGACAACCGGTACCCGTGCCTCACGACCCTCATAGCGAAGAGCTTCCTTATATCTAAATCTGCCGTCTCCTAGTGTAAAGCCAGAAGTTGCAGGCTGGCGGGCAGTGAGAGGTAGTCACAGCCTTTCCACTGACAGCCGGTGCCGGGGACCACTGCTCCCGTTACCGGCCCCACCAGGCCCAAGCCTGGCCTTGCCCACAGCTCCGCGTCACATCGGACCCTCAGAGCCAGCAGCACCTTCGCGCACGAGCCAGGGCGCACAGCGGCTCCGCCAGGAGGCGGGGCCAAGCGCTCACGTGATCCCATCCCTCCCGCCTCTCCCTGCTCCGCCATGTTGTTTCTTCCTTCACCAGTGCCTGGTGGCGGAGCCTGGGTTTGGGACTGGCGGTAGTCTTCTTCTCGCGGGCAGGTATCGGTTTCTTCGACTCACGTCCCACCCTTTCTCCTCGGCGGGTGGGCAGTAGCCGCTGGGTCTAGGGCCGGTGTCTCGGGAGAGGCGGCCCGCGCCGGGGACTTTCTCCTCGCCCGCCGCTGCGAGGTGAGGGGGTCGAGCTCCCACTTCCTGAGGTAGCGGTGGGGGGCAGCGGTCCGGAGCTGACCGGGGTTTCCTTATTTCCAGACTCCCAGCGCTCCCTTCTCCGCTCACCGAGCTCCGCCAGCTGCAGCCTCCGGGGAGCAGGAGGGGAGCCCCGGCCGTCCCTCATCCCCCAGTTACCCCTCTGTGGAGCGGCCCTGGCCGGGGCAGAGCTGGGAGAAGGCCCCGCCGGTGCTTGGCGCCGGTGCGGGCAGCGGGGAAGCGTGGCGTGATTGGGAATCCCGTGACTCCGGGGCAGGCGGGAGCTCAGCGGGGAGGCGGCTCCTGCCGAGCCATTCCCAGCGGCGCGCTGTCAGTGTCCGGCTCCGCCGCGCTTCCTCAGCGCACGTAAAGGTTTGATCTGCGAGGGTGAATCTTGGTTTAGTATCTGTCTCCTCAGCACCTTCCGAACTGAAAAAAACTCGAGCCGATACCTTTACCGCCCCTTCTTCTTGCCGTCTGCTGAAGAAGGACTTGTTTTTCCAAGGGGACCCTGAGCAATGAGTTTCTAGTTCGTCTTTTTCGAGCCAGTGACGCGATTCAGCTCTCCTCTGCAACGGCCGGTTGCTGTTCTAATCCTGGCAGGTGGCTATGCAAAAATTATGTGGGGATGGCTGAAGGACCAGAAGGGTTAGGATGAGATAGTTGAATCGCTTAGGTTTGAGTGGGTAATGGGCAGTTTTCAGTGTGTATTTATTCCATGTTAAACGTAACTTGTGCAAAATAATTGGATAACAGAATACTGCAAGAGAGCTAGTTTTAAAATCCTATACTAATGGCCCTCCTAGAAGGTTTACATGTAATTAGATACATGGGGAGCACTTAATTTTACTAAGTTGGATAGCCAAGTAGGGAACTCCTTGGCTAAATTTTGTTTTGGAATTAAAATATTTGTCTGCAAATAGCTGTCATGCAGTCTGCTGCCCTGTATGTTGTTTTCCTTCTTGTCCAGCATAATTTACAGCTTTACTAAATAAGCATGTGGTTTCTATTTGCCTTTAAAGTGTTGTACAACACTGAAGTTGTTGGTGCTTGCTTTTTCTTAGAGCAAGGGTGGTAGTGTGTGGCTGTCTCTTGCGGGGGATATTTGTGTGACATTTTAGTAGCTTATAGAGGTAGCAAACTGCAGTGGCAGACTGGAGCAAGAGTTGTTTCTCAGATGTACCCAAAGTTAACTTTTTTTCCTTGGATTTTTGCTTCTAGAGAAACCTGACCAAAGGATGGTACAGCTACATTTGTGTTTCAGGTTAAACATGAAACTAATAATGAACTGTCATTTTTCTCTGCTGTCTTTCAGGTTGATTGGAGATCTGTTTGTTGTCTTTAGTAAAGGCTTTTCTGTTAAGCTAAAAATAGGGAGTGTGTAGTAAGAAAAATCCCCTAGCAGTCCCTGTTTTGAGTGCACAAACAAGCGATCAGTTTCTTTGAATTGAAAATATGTGGGGGGAAAAAAAACAAATTGCAGAGGGTCACACAAGGTATTTAGCATTCAAGTTGTATTTTATTCTGTGTAATGTAGTAATAAATTATGAGAAGCAGATCTTTCAGCTCCTTAGGATTGGAACTTTACATAAATGTTTCACAATGAATAAACATTTCCGGGGGGGGGGGGGGGGGGGGGGGGGGGTAGGGGGGAGAAGCTTGTAAGAATTAATCAACGTTTTTTAATGCTGTACTTTAGTATCTTGTTTTTGTTTTCATTCTCTGTGGAGCAGACAGTATGTTGGCCTGGTACATTGTAGCCCACTTAACTGCCTTAGGGATTGTCTTTGGTCGCATAGTTACATTGAGAAAAATATGAACGTACAGTGTAGCTTGACCAAGAGGCTGGTATTGCTCAGGTTCCCCTGGAGGGAAAGAGAACTTAATGCAAAGGAAAAATATGAGCACATATGAGCAGAAATAATTGCTTGATAAGTTACTGAAAGAGTAGAAATTGTAACAGACAAGTAGGTTGCAAGGTGTTAGTTAACTCATTGTTAAAAATGTTACACCAAGAGCAGCAGCGCCTAAGAGTGATTTGAAGTTGGCTGAAAGTAACAGACTACTTAAGTTGTCACTCAGCTGTGAGCTGCTGAGCAATGTCAACTCTGATTAAATCAGGGTAAGTAATAATTTGATTATTCTACTTGAATGTGGGGAACAAGATGGTAAAAGAAGACCAGGTCCCTGCAAGACTAAACTAGGAGAGATATAAATTTAGGTATTTCTCCTGACAGGATTTGCTTATTGAATTTGTGGCTAGTTAAAAAGAAATGATCTTGGCAGTAAGTACTGGGATGATTTCATGATCCAGGAGTTACGTGGACCTAAGGATTCCTTCCTTTGGCTGCTGCTTTCATAGTCCTGAGTTGTGCCAGGCAACTGTTTGAACTAGAATCCTGAACTACATAGGAGTTAAAAATAACCTTATTAAAAAAAAAACCCAAATACAACTTTTCAGTATACAAATGAGTGGCAACAGCTGTATGTCAGTTCAGTTTGGCTTGTGTTCATATTACAAATTACTGTGAATAAACTCTCATGATATTCTGGTGTTAGATGAAGTGTATTGAGGCTGCTTACAACTAGAGTCAATTTTCAGATAACCTGTCTTCAAATTATTGAAGACCTATCCAACAGAAAACACAAACTATCTTTACAGTGCAGTAGTGAAGTCGTATATAAAGGAAGGCAGGCTTGCAAGATGATTAGGATCTCAGTAGGTCGAGCAGCATTATTGAAGGGCTTCCAGGCTTCCACAGAAGTAGGCGGCTGAAAAGTGGCCATCAGTAAAGGGCTGTTGCAGAAACATGGCTCTTATGTCAGTACCCTGTGGAGGCAAAGGTCAGTTTGGAGGCTGACCAATGTCTGAGCTTGTAACACATTAAATATGACAAAGTTTGCAGCATCTTGACTTCATATCTGTGTGTTTCTGTTTGAATTGAGAACAAAAATCTTCCAAGGTCAGACAAGCTTGTGGCCTCATAATACTAAAAAAAGTGTTCTTGTGCTATTAGATCAGTGTAACTACTCTAGTGACTGAGGGCTGAGAAATGTAAATACTCCTCAAACAGTAAGTGTAGTGTTGAAAACTGCTTTATGTAGTTCTGTATTCTGCCCCTTGTGCTGCACTCTGATAGTTCTTGGGGCTTTTTTTTTCAGACGTTTTGCAGAGAAGCAACTTATATCATGTTTTTGATGAGCCCCTGCAGCTAACAAACTGTGGGAAACTTTTTTTTCTCCCAAGCTGGCCTGGTAATTGTTGTCAAATGTTTTGTTAGTGTGAAGAAAAAGAATTACGAATGACAGAGTAAATTTATATTGTTATTGAAAGGCAAGTGTTTTTGTCAGACAGAATACTTGGAGTGTTGGTGTGTGTTTTAAAACTATTAATATCTGATAGTTGTGGTTTAGCAAAAGATGGCTTAGCAAAGAAGATTGTGAATAGGCATGTAATTCAGTTCACTGCTTAAAAGGGAGATTCTGGGAGACAACAGTTCAATTACGTTTGTATTATAGTATATGATTGTATTACAAATGGTATTTAGTAGAAACAATTCCCTGCTTTTAACTGGAACAATTAATAATAATTGGTGGTCTAAGAGCTTGAGTCCCTGTAAGTCAGTGGAGGCAATTCAGAAATGGTTATCAAAATGGACCAGAATGAGGCTGCTTTTTGTTTATTTGCTCTTTCTTTCAATATTGAAATGATAAAGGAACATGAGGGGAAAATCTTCTCTTTACATACTTCTCTGTGTACTAGGTTGAGACTACTTTTACATTAAACTAATTGTGCAGCACAGTAAGAAATAACTGGAACAAATTGTTTCCTGTAATTAAAATCATAGAATCAGAATAGTTAGGCTTGGAAAGGACCTTAAGATCATCAAGTTCCAACCCCCCTGCCATGGGCAGAGACACCTCACACTAAACCATCTCACCCAAGGCTCTGTTCAGCCTGGGCTTGAACACTGCCAGGGATGGAGCATTCACAGCTTCCTTGGGCAACCCATTCCAGTGCCTCACCACCCTTACAGTAAAGAACTTCCTCCTTATATCCAATCTAAACTTCCCCTGTTTAAGTTTTAACCTGTTACCCCCTGTCCTATCGCTACAGTCCCTAATGAAGAGTTCCTCCCCAGCATTCTTGTAGGCCTCCTTCAGATACTGGAAGGCTGCTATGAGGTCTCCATGCAGCCTTCTCTTCTCCAGGCTGAACAGCCCCAGTTTTCTCAGCCTGTCTTCATATGGGAGGTGCTCCAACCCCTTGATTGTCCTCATGGCCCTCCTCTGGACTTGTTCCAAGAGTTCCATGTCCTTTTTATGTTGAGGACACCAGAACTGTAAAATTCTGTGGTGTCTTGCAGTTCCTGATGATTAAAATAATCACATGCACATTGGGAATGAAGTTTTTGTTTTGTTTTTGGCTATTGGATGATGATATAAAAGGAACAATTATGGCAGTAAATCTTAAGAAACACAGTATCAGATGGTGACTGCTCCTTCAAGAGTATTAACAAAAAACATACAGATAAGTTCAAAGTACATAATAGGGGAAATAACATTACTTCTCCCAGTGTCTTAAGGATTTTAGCATTTTGTTTAAAAAATGATAAATTCCTTTAAATAAACTTATTTAAAGATGTGTAGTAGATAAAATGCAGCAGCCTACTGTGCTGACAGCTGTTGCTGTTTGGCAGATAATCTAAATCACATATTCAGTGGGGCTGCAGAGAAGTCCCTTATGTAGTCAAAAATCCTATAGTCTTTGCTGCTTCCAAACAAAAATGGGTCTTAACACCTCTAAACATGCTTTTAAATGACTGAAGGTATGTCCTATTTACTTTTTTTATTAAAAACTTCATAAAAACGTAAGCTGCCAGCTATGCATGACAGCTGCTACTGTGGAGGCTGAATGTGCTGAAAACTGGTGTTGCCTGTAGCATCACATTGAGATACTTGCTTATCAGTCCTGGGAAGACTGTTTTTATAGTTTCTGGGTAGAAGGACCATTTTGGCTCTAGCTGAAAAGACACTTAATGTTTGTGGCTGGTCTGTGATTGCCTGCTCAGTAAAAGTGTTTTTATGGTCATCAGTCTCCTAGACCTCACTGCAATGGCTCACGTAGTTGAAGTTGTGCAAATTAAATTCTTGGGTTCTGGATGCATAAAAGTACTAGATACTGTTAAGAGACTTTCCTTTTATTTTGTTTAAAATGTGACTTCATGGAAAATCTCATAACTGCAGTTCTTCAAACTGTAGAAGCTAAAGAAAGGAGTACATAGTACCAGTCAGAACTAAGTCAGTCATTCATTTATTCACAGTATGTCTTTTAGGGAACTTATGATTTCACTGGGACAGGAGAGAAAAAAAAAAAGTAATTGTAATTTGTTCCCTGTATTGAAGTGGAAAGAATAGGAAGACACTCAGTACCCTCTGTTCTCATGAATGCATTATTTATCAAGGATATGTCCCTATCTAATGGCTTAGCTCAGATAACTTACTTGTTAACCAGTAGTGGGAATTAGGGAGATAAATGAAGATGCTGGGCCATTTTAAACAGCATGAACCTGGAACTCATATGCATGTAGTCCAGTGACTCTAAGAAGGCTTTTCACATATATAAAAATGTATGTATTCATATCCTGAGCCACAGCAATTATCCCGTAGCTCTGTGAAAGAATGCTAGAATGGTTTGGATTGGAAGGAACCTTAAAGCTCATCTAGTTCCACTGCGCCTGTGACAGAGCAACCCAGACCAGGTTGCTCAAAGCCCTGTCCCACCTGGCCTTGAACACTTCCAGGGATGGGGCAGCCACAGCTTCTCTGGGAAACCTGTTCCATTGTTTCACCACCCTCACAGTAAAGAACTTCTTCCTTATATCTAATCTAAATCTGCCCTCTTTCAGTTTAAAGCCTCCCCTCTGCTACTTGTCCTATCCCTACATGAACAATCCACTTGTAGCTGTTAAGCAGTTTTAACATCATTGTAATACAAGCCTGTACAAAATCAAGGAGTTATAAACATTGCTTTTAATTGCACAATCTGAATAAATAAAAATACTTGCTTTGAACAAATTTTCAATGGAAGCAGCCACTGTTCCTTATATTTTGAAATGCCTTTGTGTTGAGGCTTCAGCTCTTCTCAGACTATAAAGAATTTGTTCTGTCTTACTGTAGGTTGTGTCTAACAAATAAACATTCAAAGATGCAAAGCTAGAGATGAAAAAATTCTGGAAATTTCTTGTTCCTTATCTTGGCCTTGATTCTAAAGCAGCACAGCGTCATATGACTCTTCATGCCAGCTTATATCAGGTATTAATTCCACAGCCATACTCTGTGGGTGATGTATATGCCAGTAATGCTAATTACAACTAGCAAGACTGCATTCCTTCTTTCAGAGAAGGGGATGGACTAGGCAACTTATGACCCATTTCCATTTTAAATAGATGCTATTTTCAGAGAAGCCTGTTCTGGCTGAATTGAGATCTTTCAGTACTGGGCAGGTATAGGAACAGCAGTTCTCATACAGAAACATAACTTTGGGCTCTTAAAACTGAAACTGTACCCCCAAGCAATTAAAACACTTTTTTTACACTTTTTACTTTCTTATTAGATGATACTGCTGTAATAATGACCAAGCTTGGGCTGGTACAAAACACTAGTGAGGAAGTTACTTTATTCTTAAAGGATTTTTTTAATGGTAATGGTTTTTGTTTTTTTTTGTGTGCTTTTTTTCTTGGTTTGGTTGTTGTTGGTTTGTGTTTTGTTTTTATTTTTTTTTAAGATGTTTGACAGTAATAAATGCAACAAAATTAACAAACTGTCAGTGTAGTCTTGGCCTCAGTGCTTGGCAACATGAGTACCATTTAAAGTAGCAACAGTGGATTTGCTTCTGCAGTAGTTGTAATAGTATTCCTTTCCTCCTGGCTGTTCCTCAATGATTGAACTATAAAATGCTGAATGTTTATGTACACGTACCTCGTCACCTGACTTTTAAAATAAAATCACAGCATCTGTATTTGTTCTATAGGTGACTGTGTTCCTTGGGAGTTGATTTAAAATTCCGTGTCTGGTTGCAATTTTGGGTGAAGTGCAGCAGTTATTCCCGAAAAAGAGATAGTGTCCTGCTTTATTCCTAAATCTTCCTCTTCACTTTTGTGTGTTAAAAATTACTTTGCTAATGAAATATGTCGCTTAAGTGATTAGTTTAAGGCACATGCATTACAAACTTTTCTCTCATGCTCATAAAATTTTCTTTCATGCTTTCTTCATGGATCTTTTTCAGTGAACATAAATGAATCATTGCACTTGCTGAATGTGATGCAGTACCCCTTGTGCACATTGAAGGGTTTGGGAGTTCTGGGTGTTTGAAATGACAGACCAGTAATTGGTGCAGTGAACTGCCTGTGACTGACATGCAGACGGCAGTCAGTGGAAGAGATACCTCTTAAACACGTGGTGTTCTTAAGTGTGTGTTTTTACTATGAGTATCTACACCTGTATAGCATAGTCCTCCTGCTTTTGTACATTAAACTTGATATTGGTGGACTTTCACGCTTTCTAGATATTCATGTGAGTAAAATTTTCTGCTTGTAACTCTTTCCTTTTTAATGGTTTTCTTAATCTTTACAGGTCTAGGAAACAAGGAGAATATATTCCTGTAACAATGGCAGCAAAATCATCACTCCTTAAAGTAATACTGCTAGGAGATGGTGGAGTTGGGAAGAGTTCCCTTATGAACCGATACGTCACCAACAAGTTTGATGCACAGCTGTTTCATACAATAGGTGTGGAATTCTTAAATAAAGAGTTGGAAGTCGATGGACATTTTGTTACAATGCAGATATGGGACACAGCAGGTCAGGAACGTTTTAGGAGCTTGCGGACTCCTTTCTATAGAGGTTCTGACTGTTGCCTTCTAACCTTCAGCGTGGATGACTCTCAGAGCTTCCAAAACTTAAGCAACTGGAAGAAAGAATTCATTTATTATGCAGATGTCAAGGAGCCTGAAAGTTTTCCATTTGTGATACTGGGTAACAAAATTGATATCGATGAAAGGCAAGTGTCAACAGAGGAAGCCCAAGACTGGTGCAGAAATAATGGCAACCATCCCTATTTTGAAACCAGTGCGAAAGATGCTACTAATGTTGCAGCAGCCTTTGAAGAAGCCGTCAGAAGAGTTCTAGCGTCTGAAGATAGATCAGATCACTTTATTCAAACGGATACAGTAAACCTTCATCGGAAACCGAAACCCAGCTCATCTTGTTGCTGACTTAAATAATTTTTTTGGCCAAATTTCTTTTGACTAGCTTGCTCTATGGAAGGATGGGGAAGGTGTAGTAGGTAAAATAACAAACGGGTTCCACTCTATGTTAAAATTGTAATATTCTGCTGCTTTCTTGGGGGAGCAAAAGAAAAATTTCCATTCATGAGTGACCCATTGAATTAGTGACACCTTCTGTTTAGGAAGGTGTCAAGTAAAACCATAATTTGCCAACTTTATTCAAGTGATAAATACTTTGAATATAATTAAAACTTGAAAGTTCTAGAAGCACTACTTTGGAGAAACTGTTCTGGAATTCATGCACAAAGATACTTTTATATGTGTATATTTTTATGAAATCGGCATTCCGTTGTTGTTTCACTAGAAGTCAAGTTTCCTAACTATGCTAGATATTAAACTTCAGTCTCACTACATTCCTTTTGCTGTGAGTGGTACTTCATCTCTAATATGTTTATTGTAAGTTAATATAAATTACCTTCGGGTTTTCTCTTAATTGCCTAATGTTGCTATAATTTGTATAGATTTTTAAGTAGGAAATAAATTTCCTACATATTTAATATCCTTTTTCATTTTCTGTTCTAATGCTGTACTAATTTGCCCAGCAGCTTAATGCAAGAGACTGATGATTTTTTTAAGTTAATACATGTATTTGCCTTAAATCCCACTCTACCATGTTTCTGATCAATAAGGTGAAAAATCAAGAGTAACTGAAGTATAATCATTTTTAGTTATGAAGAAGATAGATACACTTTATTCAGTCAGCTTTAATAGCACTTGAACAGATCCACATTATGACGACTTTGTAGGAAAACTTTTTGTAAACAGCCTTAAAGTTCCAAACTTCTTGTTCCTGTTAATATGAGCTATGAATGTGTTTACTAGTAATCTCTGCACTGTGAAACTAAGGATTGGCAATACGTAGAAAACTCAGGAAGCTTTTGACTTATGTTATATTGTGACAGCTTTCAGCCCTAATACAAGTAAATACATACAGCTAGTGTTATTTTTTGAATATGGACTTACACAGATGTACACATTTAAGACGATGTGTTTTATATTACTGTACTCATTATACAGTGATGAACAGAAGCAAATTCTATATTTAATGGACAGTCTTTCTGCAGTGATGCAGATGACACCACAGAAGGTGTATTTGAAGTTCTCCATTACAGTTAAGTGATAGAATATGAGTTGTTGGTGTCGGCTCTTGGAGTACCCACTGTCCTTGTAATAGCAAACTTGATAGTGTACTATTGCTTCAAATGTGTAATTTGACTGCTAACCAGCATGCACATACTCACATTGTGGACTTGGAAGTCTGTGGCCTATGGGAACAGGCCATGTTGTTCATTAAGCTACACAGACTCTTGTTTTCTGTACAGTAAGGATTTTTGTTCCAATAAAAAAGCCTTTCTTGAGAGTACAGTAACAGCAAAAGTTTTCTCTTAACGTATCTCTTTAGTCTGTACCAGGTGTAATTGTATGGAAGTAAAGCTTACAGAACAAACCCTGCTTGTTGCTCTTAATACACTTTTCTGTATTGTATTCTTTCTTGAACCTTTCTAGGACGACTTTACTCCATAGATCTGCTGCTCCTGCTTAAAATCACTTAAAAGTGATACCTTTTTACCTTTAGTACATTCCTAAGTGTCATTCATTCTTGCAGTCCTGCATATACAGCAACAGAACTGTTGTAAGCTTTGGTCACCTAACAGCTAAATACAGGGTGAGCTGCTACTTCTGTTATTTCTAGTGAATGAATAAAAAGATCTGTGAAGAAAATAAATTCCTCTTAAGATTAAGCCAAGAGCAAAAAGCTTTAAGGACAAAGATTGCTTGCACTAGGAACTACTAAGCTAGTGATATGAAATTGTTGTAAACCTACTGCATTACTACTGAAAGCTTCCTTTAATAATTATTTTGGCAGAGGTTAAGGTTTAAACAAACCAGGAGATTAAGTTTCCATGACTAGAATACTACAGATATGACTAAAATGAGATTGCTAAAACAGTTAAGGATGAGAACCATTGTAGTCTCTCTTATGCCTAAGCATCTGTGTTTCCCCATCTGTCCTCTTTTCATGTAACATCACGGTTACCAAGCCTCTGCCTGAAAAGTAGGTTTAATAAACTTAAATAAAACTTAATAGAAGTGTATTACTTGTGCCTGGGAGCTGCTGTACAACTGTACACTAATCACAAAAGTGGCTAGTAAAGATGGGAGGAGTTACATGCTATAGTAAATATGACAATATGAGAATTATTTTTGAGGTCAGGATTTGGGCTGAGAGGGAGACTGTGGAGTACTTGAAAGAAACAGAAGTCCTATGACAAGCAGATGTAGATGGTGGGTACAAAAAAAAGACAACAATGCACAATATTTGTACCTTGTGTAAACTTTGGTATCCATCATTCAATATGTAGGCAAGGTAGGTGCTTATGGCTTGCATTTCAGTTCACTGATTCATTTCAAATACTAACATACCACAAGCATTAGGGGGTCCTGTTAGCAATATTTAAGAGTTCTGTAGAGTGACAGGGCATGCTGTGTAGTATGTATCTAAAGTTGCAGATGTCCTTCAAAATGAGAAGCAAAAAAGTACTGTCATGGCAAATGGATGGGATTGATGAAAGCTGCCCATGTTGGCACAGACAGCAGAATGAGAAAGAAAGGGCAGAAGCAGCTAGCTAGGACAGCTAATGGCTTGTGTTGAAGCAAAGTATACAGATGTTAAGTGTGAGACTGCTGCTAGAACCAGGCTACTTCCTTTGACAGGTCTCTGCACCTCCAACAGATCTTAAAGTCAACTCATAGGACAGGTTACCTAAATGGTAACAGAACCTTGCAGAAAGGTGAGAATGAGTTGCATCTCCACCCTAGTTTACTTAAGGTTGGTTCGTGTTCTTAGGTTATGCTAATGTTCTTGTTTCCTTATGTGTGATTTTTGTACTACCTAGGGTAATTCCTCTCCCTTTAACTTACAAACTTTTTTGTGGCCTTTATTACAGGTTATCTGCTGCTTTCTCATACTGCAACAGATTTCATTTAATTTTTATTTGTAAGCCTCTGAGGTGGGGCAGGAACATAATACTTGTGCGAGGGAAGCCTGTCTCCTGCCTTGTTCACTGGGGAACTGTTCATTGTCTGATGCACTAGAACTTCAAATTTCAGACCTAAAGCAGATTTGTGACTAGCTGATCACAACTTTCACCTGTCACTTTTTCGCTTATTGTGAGAAGTCACAAATCAAAGCATAAACAAGTGTTCCTTCATACCACAGGGAAATCATAGCTACCTAGCCAAGGTCCCTCAGAGTTCTGAAACATTGTTCTTCAACACAAATTTTATAATGATTGATGTAATGAGTTCAGACAATTGTCCCTTTCCTTGCCAGTAACAGTCTGTAACAGTAGAGCCTAGAAGGACCTGTGAGACTGCATTTCCCATTTACAACTCCTATATACAGAAGAGGGAAAACATAGAGGGGCCATAAAACCAGGCACCATTTGTTTAACTGTGTTCAGAGATCAGACGAGAGAAAATGCTGTTATATTACATAACTTGCTACTGTATGATGGCAGAAAAGAATACAATTATCAAAAATCCCCAGTTTCCAAAACTGGTGGAAACTTCTAGCATTAATCCTGCATCTCTGTCAAAACTCTTCTTACTGCCACATATGATTATTTAACAGAAGCATTTCCTCAGTGAGTCTTAAGTGTTGGTATTTTTCCAACCATCCTGCTACTGTGGAGGAGGCAGAAAACAGCGTAACGGCTCCAGCTTAATGATTCCTTATCGTATGAATGAGAACACCTCAATTGTGTTTCTATTGCTTTCATGCGTATAGCAAAAAATCCCAAGCCAGTTGATTTATACAAGATTACATGACATTATCAAAACGTCAATATGTTTTGTAAAATGTGCTTTTTATGAAGACAAGTATTCCCATCTTCACTTGCCACCCCACCAATAAGGTAGCCTTACCATGATCATTTAGTTTTCTGTTAGATCATTTCAAGTATACCCAACAGGCATCCATTCTGCATCATTACATGTTTTATTTAAGGTATATTGCACCTTTGTATTGTGTTCTTGTATAGTATTTTACAGTGACAGTGTAGCAGTAAGTGTAAATTACAAAGAAATAATGACTGGCTGTACATTTAAAGCACATACACATGTGGTCCCTTTACACAGACTATGCAAAATGTAATTCTTAGAACAGCATACCACTTCCTTTGAGAATTACTTCTCAGACATTTCAAAGAGAAGTCCAAGAAGATAGCTTACACAGGTTCACTGCAAAAGAAAACAGGCTACTTAAAAGACTGTGAAACCAACCAAAATATTAGGTACATATATGCCAAACAGCCCATTTAAAAATTACTGTTCTGGAATGATGTAAGTTTTGCAGAAGAGTCCCTAACCACATTTTACAATGGAATAGTAGCCAGACAGGCCAAATAATGCCTTTCTGAAACATCAAAAATGAGATTCGTAGTTCAAAGATCCTACTCTTAATATATTTTCTTTTCAGCACTTGCAGAGAAAATGGAAAGGTGTGGGTTTAAACATTTAAGTTTAGTTTTCTTCCATATGTGAATTAGGATTAAAGTCAGGCCAGACAATGGGTGTTCTGGGCTACTTCAGTCACTTCGCTTGATGCAATGCTGCAGCTAAACATGCATCACTCATGTAAACATTTACTAAGTTTGAAGCTTTCAGTTTTAAGCTCTAAAACATTAGAGGTTTTTTCCCAAATTGAAATATTGAAGACAGAGCTTTGCTGATACACCCTCTTTTTATTAAACACTTTATAATACATACATTACACATTACAATATAAACATGGACCTAATTTAATACCACAGAGAGTAGGGTTAGTCTAATTAACCTGCAGAGTATGTTCTCTAGCAAATGTCAGTAAGTAGAAAAGTGTATAACAAAGTTAACCCCTTAAGCCAAACAGTCAAGAATTCCCTTTTACTATTTATTTGTATTAAATTGCATGACTGGAGATGTTTCTTGTGTTTAGATCCGATTTCCTCCCACCACATATAAGAAGCATATGCACTGGCACCCACGTCTCAATGTACCTATTCCGTAGCACATAAAAGGAAACTTCTTAAGTTACACGTTTTAACCAGAGAAGCTTGGCTGTTCTGATTTCTATTGGCAACAGCAACAAAAAAGCTTCTTCAGCATCCAGTTTGTCAATCCTCAGAAGATGAATATCAAACATGCTGAGAAATAACCAGAACTACAGTTTAAATAACTGGGGAAGTATGGAAAAAGCACTCACTCAGGAAACTCATTTATTCAGCTTAACAGGTGTTTCTTCCCAAGGAACTGTACTTTCCTTTCAAAGGCACTGGATCGAATAGGAGAATTAAGTTCATAAAATGGATTCATTGCAAACTGAGGAAAAAAGAAAAAGTCATCAATAAGCACAATGCCTAGCACTAGCAAATGTTACTTCAGATGACAGCTACTATTAGCTTTCAGCCTATTTAAAGCCACTTGAGAGCAGGGAGCTCCTGAATAGTTGCTTGATTTCCAGGCCCTTCCATTCACCCCGTGTACATGCACAGCAATCCCTTATAGCAGCTCCTCAGAGCAAATCCATCATGACTCTGGTGGAAATTTCTAGTTTGGAAGTAAGTGTTGGTTGAGTGCTCTGAGGAGGCCAAAGTGGCATTCTTCCAGTGGATTGTCGTGATTGCCCCATCTAGTGGAAGTACCTCCAGGCTGAGAGAACACGTGCCACTTGTTCTGAGAGCAAAGCACTTTGATCAGGCTTTTGTACAACAGCCTTTTGCTTTCCCTGTTCCCGTGAATGACACAATACTGCCCCAAAATCACGGGACTATCATGAAGCATAAGTTCTGAAAGAGCACAATTTATAAGAAGTCAGAAAAATCTGTTCTGTATAATAGAAAATACAGCCTTTATGTTATCAACTCTGGCTCATGTGGACTGCATGGGTTCTTCTCCACTTACACTGGCCCCCATGAGAAAATATGCTAATACAGGCATGCCTGAGCATCTATAGCAGAACACACCTAGAAGTACTGCTGTGAGACCATAGGAAGTGGGTTCTTACCTTTATATATAAGTCATATACGTCATTAAAGAAGTTCTTAATTCCATCTTCTTGCCTTACATCATGAAGCATTATAAATCTCATATGTAAAGCAATTAAGAAAAATGTATCTTTCACAAAGAAGAGAGACATTTAACATATCCTGAGATAAGCATTTACACCTAATTCTGCATACACTTAAAATGTTTAGCTGTACATGAAACAGCAGTGACTATATAGGAGGAAGCATTTTAAAGAAGTAACTGAAGCAGTGAAATTTAGAAAGCATTACCTTTCTGTTTAAAAACTCCTCTATTTGAAAATAAGCCAAGGTTATTCTTTTTAAAGCTACACAATTCTGAATGGTGATGACACTCTCAGCAGCATTGCCATATACCCCTGAAGTTAAAATGACATTCAATGTTACTTGCCATGTATAACAAATATTTCACAACAAATACTTCTAGGATGACCTGTGTATGAGATTGAGCCTTGCCGCTGCATTGTCAAGATGGGTGTGGGGGACACCAAGCATGTTTATTCCTCTTTCTCCTGTCTAGCACTATTCATACCTCTTTCCTCTGTTCCAGGTAAGCTCCACATTTCATTAGGCTATTTCAGCTCTTCCAAAAGAGAAAAATCCACCTTTCCAACTGGTCCCAGTTTTAAACACCTTCTGTGCCTCTTAATTTATCTTGAAGCTGGTGACTCTCTCTAACTATAACAGTGATTAGCAGCCAGTGAAATCTGTTCCAAACTCATTTTATCTAACTTGTCCCTTTCTGGCAAAAGGATTTACCTATATAAATATATGGAAAGAGAAGAGGGAAGGATATGTCCAGCTGTGACAAAAGCCGAAACAAACCATTCGTTAAACTTGTCCACAGTCTTCAGGTACATGTTGTTAGAAAGCCACATGTTCTCATCTACTAGGTCAAGAGCAGCATGGGCAATGAACTGGTTGAGATGGCGATGATCATCCTAATGTATTTCCAGAAGACAGAGGATTAGTAATTCAGTGAAAGGAGTGAAATATAAACAATAGTTTGCTCAAGTTGCTAAACAACTAGTCATATATACACCATTCTTTTCTGTTACATATATGCCATCCTATAAGTGAAACTAGTACCTTATTGTCATGATACTTAGTTTCAAGAGAAATAAAAGTCATAAAAGGTCATCACAAAACCAGCCGTGAGAGTAGTAAAACCAGTCGTGAGAGTAGTAAAACCAGTAAAGCCTGTATTTATGCCTCAGGAATGAATTCAAGCATGAATTCTTTTGTTTACCAATGAGTAATCTCTGACTGCAAAGTTATTCCACAACAGAGACCCTCATAAAATTCTGCTTTTATGAGACCTCCGCTTTCCAGTCACTTGGTTTTGTGAAATTTACAGCAATTTAGTGTTTTTTCACCGTAAGGTCCCTGTCAAATTTGGCAGAAGTTGAGCAATACAATGTTAAAATGTGTAAATGTTAAAATGTAAAACACTGTGTGTTAAAACACTGTAAAATACTACAATGTATAGAATTGGGGGACAAATGGGGAAAGCAGAGAAATACAGAGGACAGATACACTGATAAAATTATCACCTAAAGATTCTGGATTTTAAGGTTATTTGCCTAGAAACATAGGATTGCTTTATTCTGTTGGGATTTTTATTTTTCCTAAGAGCTAGCGCAGAAAGGCTTCCTGCAACTTGTATTAAATGTATGCTTGCAGATGTAAATTGCACCTCTTCCTATAACAAACATGAATGGCCTTCATAAGAATGATCACAGTGTTTGGCCCCAACACTGCAAGACTTGTGTAGGCAAAGAGCCATTTACTTTGCACATGAACTACAACACCAGAGGACACCTGTGAAGAAGATGGGACTAAACCATACTGTAAGCTTGTATTAGACTGGAAACGTAAGTGGACTTGCACTGTTTCTCTCAGTGCACTATGTCTTCCCCAAAAACCAAGTTTGGCTCAGGGCATTAACAGCTTTCTAAGTTCCACTAAACCATACCGAGGAAGAGACTAAGTAGTGAAGTTTAAGGGGCAAAAGCTCATGCTGATTTACCATGTATGTTATGCAAACCACTTACGTTATCTGAAGTCCATTACTAAATGCATCTGAAATGAATTAATTCTTTAATGGCATGTCTCAGAAACAGAAGCGCCAACTGCCAAAACATGAATGTCTAATAATTCTCTTTCACTGTACAGCAAGTTTAGATTAACTCTTAGGAGAAAAATCAGTATTTCAACCTCAGTCAGACAAGAAGCTTACCCAAGCCAAGCTATTTCCAATAGCAGAATGCAGAAAATGAATTTTTCCACTGACACATCCCCACACTTACTGATTATGGTCCAACTAGCCTTATCTTAATGGGACACTAGATCGAAATACAGATCACACCATGCTGTTCAAATCAGTGACAGCACAGACTGCAATTTTTGGACAAACTCACAAACCCATGGCCTTTTATTCTGCAATTTATTTTTTCCTCAGTGTAATACCAGATTTGTTCTTTTCCCACTGGAAACGCTACTTACTCAATAAGTCTGACATTTCTCACATTTAAAAACTTGTATTTATCAATACAAGCTTTAAAACTTTCTTACTTAAAAGCAAATATGACTAATGAGGATGACTAAAAAAATAAGATGGTTTACAGCATAAAAAATAAGGGACTAAATAGAGCTTTCAAACATATGTTCCTCACTTTATCTTATAACTATTTACAGGGGCCTTAAAGAACTACACACGCATTAAATAACAAACAGCTATTACAAAAGCTCTACATCCTAAGAGCAAGCATGACTAGCATATATATTCTTCACCATACAGCATCAAATATTTAAGGAAACCATGTTTTATGAAGAACTAGTATGATCTGACAACGAACTTTTAAGACACTCCAGAATGCCAGAGTTTTACTCCCTGTGACAAAGTTTCTGCAAAAATGCAGAAAACACTAGACACTAATAACACTACAAACAAAATCCTGGCCATGCTTCTAACGCAGCATAAAATTATAAAAGAAAAAGCATCATAATTACAACATAGGAGTATCACAGGGGAAAAAAAAACACACCTTGGACTCCACTTTTCCAGGAGGCAGAAATTCCATTTCAAATATGGGATTATCATGATGACCAACTATCACAAAGTAGAAACTTCCAGACATTCTCCAAAGTAATGCTCCTTACAAGAAAAAGACAGACATGCTGATGACTCTACAAACTCAACCCATGTGACAATGCTCTTAAAAATCAGTTAACATGCTTTCTATTCATAATTACCATAAGCTAAAAGGAGATGAGCATTTTCCTAGGTATGTCCATTTATACTCAAATAGGGGGAGAAAATATCTTTATGAAGTGAAACACCTCCTGGAAGTGAACCTAAATTACTGATCTATCCCCTGACATCCCTCCCCATGACTCGGACAGCAACGATCCCGTGAAGTAATGAGGTGCATCTGCCTCTGAAGACTCCTCGCCTGTCTCTCCCACAGGGGCCCTACAAATAGGCGGTAGAAAGAAGAAGGGTGGTAGATGGCAGAATCCCATAGCGCGGCTCCATAGAAGCACAGAATGGTTGGGTTGGCAAGGACCTTAAAGCTCATCGAGTTCCAATCCCCTCCCACGGGCAGGGACACCTCCCGCTACATCGGGTTGCTCAAGGCCCCCAACCTGGCCTTGCAGTCCCCATCCCCGGGGACTCCGGAGCTACCCGGGACAGCGCACCCTGCCGACGCGTTCCAGCACCCTGAGGCCCACTCGAGGTTGCCGTCCCCAGAGGAAGGGCCAGGTGCCGCAGGAGCTGCCCGCGGAACCAGGGAGGGAGGGAGGGAAAGAGGAAGGGAGAACGAGAGAATGGGGGGGGGTAGAAGGGTTGTCTAGGCCCGCAGGGGCCCACCACCTACCCTGCGACGATCGGTCTCCAACGGCTGCCAACGGCCTCCCGGAAATGCTCCTTCAGCATCCGTCGCGCCAGTGACGCCTCAGCGTCCGCCGGCAGCCGTCACGCGGTGGGAGCTGGTGGGCGGCAGCGTGCTGGGTGCCCGGCTCCCAGAGCGCGGTGGCACGGGCTGCCGGCGCCACACGGGGACCGCCTGCTGCCGCTCCTCAGGCAGGAACCGGAGGGGCTGAGGCGCAGCGCACGGGAGCGGGCCGGGGCCGGGCGCTCTCCCCGTGGGTAGGGGGAGGCTGCCCGGCATAAGCCTGGACCTGCTTGAGGGAGAGGCCGGGCAGGTGGGGCACTCGGAGGCCGTGGATCGAGCTGGGAGTCAATAATGCGCCTTTTTGTTTGCTTCCTTGTTTCTGTTTCCTGATACTGTAGGGCAGGATGGCTTCGGTTGAAAAGGAGACGCTCTCCCAGGATGAGCTCCGGAAAAGGCTCTATCAGACTTTTAAGAACCGAGGTGTACTGGACACACTTAAGGTGTGCTTTATTCTCAGCAGGTGCTGCCTGTGATTCACTGTACTGCTTAACATTGAAAGCAGTAAAAGTCATGCTAAATAAATGTGTTTCACCCTCTTCCCAAATGTATTTTTCTTGTCACAGCCGAATTTGTGTTCAGCTTTTTTTTTGTGGGGGTTAGTCTGAGTCTTTTTCAGGGGGGTTAAAGGTCTGTATCAGGTATTTGAATTTTAATGCTTGACGAAAAAAGTCAAGCAGGGAAGAGAGGAGTAAATGAAAATACAGGATTGGAAAGGATTTCATAGGGCACAGAGGCTATTATCTACTGTAAGTAAGCATGCTATAGGAATTATCATCCTAAAATACTACAGTTCTGTTTTAAAACTATTTTGAGTCATAGAGTCATTTGAGCTGATTTCCTCCTGTCTGCTTATTCAGGAAAATATCTTAGACTATGGTTGTGCTCAAGAATGAAGCTTTGTTCTGGTTTGTAGCCTGGGTTTATTTGTGGTTGCTCTTGCCTTTATATTGTGCTGAAAGTATCTTTTAGTTTACATAGCTCTTACTCTTCTTGATGATTTATAGGCAGCAGTCACGCCTTTTCTTCAGGATTCTGTTCTACAGTGCTAAGTTAAGTCGAGGGGCAGTAGTCTCATTGCTGGTTACCCCAGCAGTCCTTTGCATCACTTTGAAGTCTTACACCCTTGTTTTAAAGGAATTAGATTGTGATTGTTATGAGCTTTCCAGGCAGAGTTTAAAATTATGTTAATTTTTTCTTATTTTTGTGAGGGAGTCTGTGGATGGCTGCATGCATTTCTCCGTGAAGCATGTTGCATTTAGAGTGTTTGTCATTATTGGATTGTTTACAACCACATCTCGCTTTTTGAAACAAGAAATCCTTTGTGTTACAGCAGAAATTTGTATCAGGCTTTAAATGCTGAGATGTATTTCATGCAGTTTCAGTTTTTTGCTAGTCTTTAAAAATCATCTGACTGCCTTAAAAAAAAAATTAATCTATACTTTAAGAATGCGATTGATAATCTTACGGCCAACAATTCTCTTTTTCAGGGTAACTTGTTTTTCCCTCAGTGATTTCCATACAAAGCTTGCAGTTCTTGAACCATTTCGTGTCTTGTTTGACTTAACTAATAGTCTGTCAGGTGGCAAGCTATTTAAGTCTGTTTTTCTGCTTCATTTTCCTTGTATAGAAGAGTATACAGTCTTTTTCTGAGCTGAAGGATTAATACAGTTATGGATTCTTACTGATTTCTTATGGATTACATCTTCTAATGAGAAAGCTCTCAAATTTCTTGTTGTCTTATCTGTCTGTCTCTGCTTGTAAGAGGCAGAGTGGATCTGGAGCTGAATGTCCAACATGTAAATAACTGATTTCTGCCTTCCTTTCCCATAGTAGGGATGGTGATTTAGCCCTGTGTTTTCCACCTGTGCTTTGTCATGAGATGTGTAAGGTGTTGCTGGTCTCAGTTGTTTTTGAGACAGTATCACCTGTGTCTAACTTGACTGAAACTGGACAAGTTCAGAAATGAATAAGGAAAACATTTTTTCAGTTGTCTTGATTTCTGTTGCCAGCCTAATTTCTGTAGAAAGCCATGCAAAAGTATCAGGCTGGTCTGATGTTTTAGGTTTCTTAACTTTTGGTAAGTATTTTGTCCTGTTTTTGTAAGATGCTACTTCTTTAATCATCTTTGTCACTATTGCATACCTGCTGTTGAAAGCTTAAAATGCTGTTTCTGTTGTAATCTTCTAGTACACTATAAACAATTTCTGTCATTATATAATAAAAATCATACATCTTTTTGTAGGAGGTAGACTTTCTGATTCCTTGTTACTCTTTTTGTTCTATTGTAATTATGCAAATGATGAATAGAAAATGCTGTTTAATTATTATTAGTGCCTGTAGGGTTTTTAAGCTAGTACTCTTGCTTCCCTGTAAAATTTGTCTTAAAGACATTGAATTTCCTGTTTATTTTCCCATCTGCTTTTGTGATGGTATTGGCAGCTTCTCAATATGAGACTCAGAACAGGACTAGTGAGTTTTCCAAGTACACCTGAAATTGAGCCCACATCAGGCAGGCTTTATTTAAGCCAGTGAGAAGGAGAACAGGAAGGCAGTGATCTAAAACTGAAGCTGGGGGTAGAGTGGAGGTTATGCAAGTTCTTGACAGAGCAAGACTTCTTTTCAGTTCTGCGTTTGATACATTGTGAGAGAAAGTCGAACTTCAGTGTAGCCACCGTTGTAATGTTTTCAAGAAAGGCAAAGTGTGCCAAGCACTATTCTGCATTTTGTCAACGCTGGTCTGCCCATTTCTGTTACATAGGTTGTAATGTAACTTGTACAAGTAATACGAGACTCACTGTGAATTTTGAAAAGTAAAAACTCATTAAATAACATGTAAACTGAGATTATAATGTCTTTTCTGTATCAGACACAGCTCCGAAACCAGCTAATCCATGAACTAATGCACCCAATTTTAAGTGGAGAACTTCAGCCACAGGCTGTTCCAAATGAAGGGAGTTCAGTTTTGATCACAGCTTCCAACAGTCTGGTAGCAGATCATCTACAGAGATGTGGCTATGAGTATTCACTTTCTGTTTTCTTTCCAGAAAGTGGTTTAGAAAAGAAGAAGGTGAGTTTAGTAATTTACCTCTTCTAAGACTTCTGTGAGCTTTGCATTCTGGGTGTTGTCATATTCCAACAAAATTAAAAAAAAACAAAACAAACGTTTTTATGATAGTGAAATACAAACACAAATACAGCTTCTGATTATCTCCATAAAGGATTTCTTTATTTAGGGTCGTTTTCATAAATGCTGGCAATAAGCTAATGATGCTGGTTTTTAGAGAGACAGCACAAGCCTCTTAAAATTGCACTTGCTTCACCCATAGCCACAGTCTGACATGACTGTGAGACTGTGTGACAGAGCACTTGGGGAACTGATCCCTACTAAAGCTAACCTCTTGTTTGGCCATTCAGTTCCCTGAAAATGTGGTTCATGGTCAGTTTAAGCTGTTTTGCCTAGAATCTATGGCTGAAAAGTACAGTCCCTGCCCTCTCACTTTTTCTCCTCTATGAGTACGTGATGGGGTGAAGCTGTTTCTAACTGAAAATTAATTTTTTGACCTGGTGAGTGGTTGGTGAGCTCATCTGACTGGTTGTGATAAATCAAGAAAAGGGGCAAGAAGAGTAGCAAAAGCGTGTATTCAGGGCAGGGAGGAAACTAAACTATCTCTTTTCACAGCTTCAGTTGATCATGTAATAACTACATGCTGACTGCTGTATGTCTTGCGTAGTGGAAATAATTAAATGAAGTATCAGAATAGCAGCCCACTGAAAATTGTTTTACAAGGTGATAAATAGATCTTTCTTGAATGGAAACATTCTACAAATATAAAATAGTGCCTATGACATATTTGAAATTATTTTGAATTAGTTAACTTTTTCTAAGTTATCCTCTCCTCCTTCTCTCCCCCTTCCCCTTCTCTCCCCCCACCAAAGCTGTGGACTATGCAAGATCTTCTCCAGTTTATGAGGATCAATCCAAAGTCCAGTCTTTACAAATCACTGGTAAAGTTATTTTGATTTTGAAAATAAGCTGAAATTACAGTGGTGGTGGAGTAGACTGTCTAAAACATCTTTTGTTTTTTACAGACTTCAGAAACTCGGAAGGAGAATAAAGGTACAAGATGTTTATACATGATACAGACAAAGATAATTGTATCAGCTTCCATTTTATTAAGATGCAAGCAATTGAAATTCAGATTTCTTGAGTGTATGTTGCTATGGAATAATTTTGATTTTGAAACTTGCAGTACACCAGGATGATGAGTATTATATTTCAGGATTATCCAACTGCTATTTGTGGTGTGAATTGCATCTTAACATTCACTTACAAAATAAATGGCTTGAGCAGATATATGAAAAATATCTGTAATCAGGTATGAAATATAATGCTCTCAAAGCTCTTCACACTAACTTTGGCAAACTCAGACTTTGGATTGTGTTTGCAACTGCTTGTATTAGCTTGCTAATGTACTTCAAAAGCTAGTTAAAGATTTAATTGACTTTCTATTTTTTTATTTAAGAAATAATTCTTATGTTTGTATGATGAAATCTAGCTATATTGTATAGCCTAAGGTATCTTGAGCATCAGAAACCCTGTTACATAGTGACCTCATAATTAAAGTAGTAAAAATATGCTCTCTCAAATTACCTCAGAAATCAGAGACAGAGACATGAGTGAAGGGAAAAGGACAACTTTTACAGGGTGAGGTGGACTGGATTATGCTTATAACAAAATCTTAAGATCTTACTAGTATTGCTTTTTACTTAAATACTTGGTTCTTTCAATAAATTGAATAGGTTTTCTTGTACAATTATGATGGTTTCATTAATTACAGTCTCAAATTCAATTTTGTTACAAAAGCAGGCATAACTAATATATTGGATCTTGACAGGTTTTCTTATGCAGATTTTACTTGGGCTTACAGAGCATCATCTAAGCAAGGAAACTCATGACACAGAAACTCAGACAAACTCAGTGCCTCCTTACAGAGAATCTCTTGGTAAGTCTTGGTAAGACTC